GTGGGAGACATAGTACTGGCACATCTGGTGGCTGCCTTATGCATTTACTTTGTGTGTGAGCTTCTAGATTTTGCTGAGACTGACCTGTTTGTTAACTACTTGTAGTTTTCAAACGGGATAGTGAAGGGTATTTTGTGTGATTGCCATTGATCTAGGATGAATCAATAATGGGTGATCCATTTGCTCATTTGCTGTGAAGCTGAAACCCCCAGTAATGACTAACAGCTCAATATTGACACTTACAAACACAATTTGTTCGCTCATTCTATGCCTAAGGTAACAGATGAATAATAAAGAAAGACAAAGCGAGTGGATTCTTCAGCTATATGTTCATCAAAATCAAAGATCAACTTGGAGAAAATATTATAAGACAAGATCATCAAAATAAAGTCATCTTATCACAGTTCGGACAATAATAATAATGACAGGCAGAAACAACATCAAAGTGAAGCTATTATTCACAAATGTTTCCACATTTTCAGTGAGTCATAGTATTGTGGGCTGTGGCTTCATTCACCATTAAACAAATTTACTTCTTCTATGTTCTGCATGACAAGGATCATTGGTATATTGTATTGTGGTTTACAGCTTGGCTTGGTTTTATTTTTCCATAAAATGTGGTCCCATAACCCACAGGTGGAAAGCTGATTTCAGTTCCCAGTGAAGTGGGTTCCTGTTTCCACCTCTTGCTAATTGTATGAGGGAATACTAAAGTTGATCTCCGCCATTACCAGTCCCGAGCATGGATGAGAAAGTAAGAGGTCTGGGCATGGGGACCAGCTTCCCTACCCTACATAAATAACTTTACTACAGAAACATCATATGAATACAGATGCCTGATCAAACAGATAAACATTAACTGGGATGAATTCAAGAAAAATGAAGAAATGATAGAAATGTCTGGACCACTGCTTGAATAAGACAAAGAAAATGACACTATATGGGGGAAATCCTGAGAAGTGAGCAGAGAATCACCAAACAGGCACTGAAATGGGAAACCAAAGGATTCAGAAAACAAGAATTTTCAAGGGAAATCCTAAAACAAACATTGAGAGAGAGGTCAAAGGCGGACTAGGTTCGATCCATATTGAAGGACTGCACAGAATACAGCAGAGTTGGGAAACAGACAGCAAGCATTAGGTCATTTCAACTTGTGGCCCACTGGCCAAATCCGGCCGGCAGATCAGTGCTAAGTATATTATATTACTGATTGTTTTCTCTGCTGGGGCTCGAGCCTCTGGACTGTTACGTAGACCATTTTTAACATTCTGGTCCACTAGTAAACTCAGCAGAACAGCCCTGCCCTGTTTGATGTATGAATGGCAAAGTAGGATGACTGAATTGGTGCTATACTGCATTCTTACAGCGCATAATATTTACACAACTTCACTGTCCACAGTTCAGTCCCAAAGTCGATGATGCTAGTTTTCAAAATCCCTACTTGCTACTAAATTCGCATACTAACCCCATTACTCTATGGTGAGCTATAAAACAGGAAAGAATTAAAGAACAGTGCAGTATTGTTATACAACACCTACATGAAGTATTATTTTGTGACACATGCCGGAATACTGTTGCTTTTAATAATTGGGATTGTTTCAATAACTGCAACTGTAACATTATCATAAAATGAAGTTTATTCTTCACAGTTAAGTCTTGTCTACACTTGAAACAAGTTGATGAAACTATGCCACATAAAACATGGATCCAGTGTGCTTCTACGTAGTATAGTGGTGGCAGTGCTAAATAAGAAATGAAGGTACATTTTGACTTACAAGAGAAAAGACCACACAGCATATATGGTACATAAACATACCGTGCTACAGGAGAAAAGGATAAACAAAACTATAAGGCAATAAACAATTAAGAGTAGGAGAAAGGTTAAACAAATACTATAAGGAAAGTCACACCCCAAAGCTAGTAAAAAAAACACAAATTAGGTATGCACTAAGGTAGAAAAGAACTAACTAAAAAAAGAATGTAAGGTTAGAAGAGAACAGATGAAAAAGATAAGTCAGAATGTCCCAAGACATTTTTTTTTAAAAACAGATCAAAATAAAAGAAGGTACAAAGAATAGACTAAAAATGTAGCTATCTCTGTGTGCCTAAGGGTTTTAAAAAATTTTGTAGGCCAAAAATTAAAAGATAGTTAATGTCATTAGATTTCTGTGAAAAATTAAAGCTGACTTCTCCCTAACAAAAAACCTGGCAAACCATCATAATCAGCCAATGATAAACAGTGGTATCATTATCACCTCTACTGATGATTTGAAAAACACCACAGACAAAACTTGAAAGTTTCACACTCCAACCATAAAGTAAACTTTTCTATCAACGCTGTTGATTAAATATAGCAAAACAATTTGTAAAGAGTTAATTTAAAAATTTAAAAGTCAATTAAGAAACAACAACTATCATTATGATAACTGAATGAAAAGAACAAAGGATGATTTATTAACGGAAGCAATTATCCCTTAAGTAAAGGATGCCAAGCCTATTTTATAGACCAACTGGCACTAGGTGGGTGATGTTGTCTAGGTCACGCTGACGCCTTGACTTCCCAGGACAAACCTGTATCTATTTTAAGCTGGGTGGACCCAGATGCCAAGGTCAACTTTAAAAAAAATATCAGCCATGACACAGATTCAAACTCAGGACTTCTGGGATGGTAGATAAGAGCCTAGCCACTAGGTCACAGAGGCTCTTAATTATCAATGTACCCTGGACAACCCCATACATTCTGTGTTTTCTACAAATCCAGACTAGAGAACTTAGTAACATCTGGCAAGATCGATGAAAAGAAAGAAAGCGTAAGGCAAAGAGATAAATACCTGGACAGCTTGGATGGGGTAAGACAAGAACATTGACCTGATCATTGATTCTGATGACAGTGTGAGACGGAACCTAGAGGCAGAGGTCGACCACTGCCTGGGAGGATACTGGACACTGAAGATGCACCGATTCAAAAAGCATGTATGCTGCTTCTAAAGAACACAGAATATGTACAGGCCTTGACAGCCTCCTTTGTACAACAATAATCAAGCAATTAAACACATGCAAGATCCCTCTTCCACTCCCTGAAAATAATAACTATCTCACAGGTTACGGCAATAAAATAGAAAACAAAAAGAAACAAAATTAACCAGCGGCAGTTTGGAAATTTGTGACAACAAATTCACCGGATTTCTTCAACAATGCGATAGAAAAAGATGTTACCTGACAGTTCATGAAACAACATCAGATCCCTTTCTCACTCCCATTTACCAGCCGTAAACTCCATCAAAAAGTTTTGGCTGTGCACATCTGATTTACAACTCTGACTTATTTTGTATGCAGACTGTTGGTTCCTCACCTTTCAGACAGATGTAATCTGACTTCGAAAGAATCATCCCTAATTAGATTACTCTTATGACATGCTTGCTAAGGGGCAGTGGCTCTCCCCCCCCCCTCCCCCAATAATGGGTCCCAGAACCCACCCAGGAAAACAGATTCATTTGTAATTGTATCCGGACAAGATGGCAGGACAAGACTGCAGCTCTCAACATGGAGAAGGATGGGAAAAAGCTATGGCATTTAGTAAAGAGTCTCAATGGGGAGAATAATACCAGCCGTGCCCACACTGTCATTGAAGATGGTGGGATAACTGGTAAACAAGCAGCAAACCTGCTAGCTGATAGTTTTGCAAAGGAAAGCAAAATCTTCAAGTCTAGAGCGAGAGAAGAAGAAGTGATGAGAGAACCGAGGAAAAAAAATAAAAAGCATGAAGATAACCAAGATATAATGAATAAACTCTTCAGTCCCCAAGAACTTGAATGCGCATTAAGAAACCTTAAGTAAAGGAAGGCACCTGGACCTGATCAAATAAATGAAATGATAGTACACTTGGGACCAGCTGGTAGGCAACGACTCCTAGACCTTATAAACCAATCCTGGGCCCAGGGACTACTTCCTAAGGAATGGAAGAAAGAAGAAATAGTTCCCATAGCCAAGAAAGGAAAGCCCAAGGAAAACAAATTCACACATGAACAACAACCCCATGCACAGAATTGCAAATAACTTTTAAAAAAAAACGACTGAAAAGACAAAGCTTTCACCATCTATCAAAATTGTTCTACACAAAAAACAGTGACATCCTTTCTTAAGATCCTTCAACGTGGGAAATGATCCAGGCATACAGCAAAGACCTACAGCCTAACTATACAGTCACAACAACAATTCCAGGTATAGACAGAAAGGCTGAAGAATGTGACCTTGTAAAAACCTTGGAATGTATGTTGTGTGTGGATCTGTGGGTGGTTTAGAAGGCCATTCTGGTGGTTTTTCAGACAGTGGTACTGGAGCTGCAGATTGGCACCTCATACCGTATAATCCTCAAAGACAGTTGTGGATGCACATATCCTTTGTAGCTGTGAAGATGGCACAGTATAAAAGTACACAGGTTAATTACTCATATCACATTTCTATCAGACTGACATTTTAAGTGTTCAAAATTATACTGACATCTTAGAGTTCAATACCACACTGACATCTTAGAGTTCAATACCACACTGACATCTCAGAGTTCAATACCATATCAACATCCTAGAGTTCAAAATCACATCAACATCTCAGAGTTCAATACCACACTGACATCTTAGAGTTCAATACCACACTGACATCTCAGAGTTCAATACCACATCAACATCTTAGAGTTCAAAATCACATCGACATCTCAGAGTTCAATACCACACCAACATCTTAGAGTTCAATATCACACTGACATCTTAGAGTTCAATACTACACTTGACATTTTAAGGTTCAATACCATACTAACATCTTAAGGATCAATACTACACCGAAGTCTTAGAGTTCAATACTACGCCAACAACTTAGAGTTCAATACCACATTGACATCTTAGAGTTCAATACCACATTGACATCTTAGAGTTCAATAAATACAATACAGAGCTTGATAAATACAGGGCTATATTACAATCAGGGCTAGAGTGGAATATACACCATCAGTTAAACTTTCTGCGCACGTAGGAAGGCAAGATGACTTCAGACTCTTCCGAAGTGACTGACAAATATTCATCCAGTGTTCTTTCTGCACACTTGGCAATAAAACGAATAAACGGGCGTATATCGCCGTCATTGGCCAGCTGTAAGGTTTCATAGTAAGTCAATCGATCATCAATTTCAATGGAAACAGGAGGAAAGCCCGCCTGCATTAGGATCAGATTCATCAGCAGTCTAGATGTCCGTCCATTCCCATCATAAAATGGGTGGATGGCTACGAGTCTGTAATGAGCCAAAGCAGCAAATTCTATTGGATGAAGTGCCAGGGCTTCCTCAGAGTTCAGCCATTCGACGAGCTGATCCATGTGATCTTTCAGCTCTTGGGCAGCAGGTGGTGTAAAATCCCCCACAAAAACCTGAAGAAAAAAGAACAAATATATTTCAGTTATGCATTACATCGAGGAGCAGCTGGCAACAGAGTGCTAGGTGCGGGAGACCCAGGTTCAAAGTCTCGGTATGGTTGAGGATTTGTTCCTAAACTGAGCAGTCTGAGGCTGAGCAGTCTGAGGCTGAGCAGTCTGAGGTGACAACACTAGCCATGCTGCACTAAATCCTCAGACTTAAAGACACCCCCCCCCCCCTCCCTCCCTTTTATTTTTGTTTTACACTGCAAAAATAAATACAGGCAGCAATGGCAGGTTTTTATTTTTTTTTTATTTTTATGAAACTATATCACACTGACGATGGACAATTGCAAGGGTATACTAAAAGATGTATCTGATCAACCAGAACAACACATCACACCATGGAATGCAAGTGGGATGCAGAGATGCTAAACTAGGCTTGGTGGTCCACCAGGGCTCAAACTGGTTCAGACCTACCTACACTTTTCTTTTGGTCATCCGAGAAACAGGTTCCCTTCTACATAAATAGGATCGACATTTCATTTTGAAGTCACAATGCATCTACCAGAGAACTAACAGTTTGCACATAAGTAAGCCAGGTCTGTAAAGTGAATGTGCATGCAATATTCAAATCATGGAACAAGACCAAAGTCCAGAAGTGGATGAACAAACAGGAATTTATACAAGTTCACAGCCAGCAAACACAGTAAAGGAAGAAGATAAAGAGGAAAGAAGGAAGAGAGAAAGAAAGAAATGGTCATTCCCCATCTTTATATCATGACCTCAGCCTTGTGAATGTGTAGATGTCGATTACTTTATCTGCCAACAGCTGTATCTGCTATGGGAATATCCCGACCTTGCCATGAAAGATTAGGTCATCCTAAATGTTATCTTAAGATATTTGCAATTTATAAAAATATGAAAGTCTTCCATCAAAATGATACATGAAAGATACCAAATATAAATTATTTTATAAACAAATATCATCTCCTTCTTCAGCATTCTGATCCCTTGAGGTTCATTGCTGCAGATATCACCTGCCTCCATTTATCTGCAAACAACCATCACAGCATTTAAAATGTTTTTGAAAACAGGTATGAGGATTAGCAAACGATGCTGCTGTTAGAACAGAAATTGGTGACATGATAAACAAATCCAACAGTACATACCTGTGTGGTACGAAATCGTCCGGCTTCTGTCGGGTCTACATATCCTAGAACTCTGGTGTGAATGTCAAGGATGTCCTGCAGGGTCAAACGTCCAACTCGACCAACCAGAGTACTGAAAAACAAAATCTCTTTAGCAGCATCAACAAAATGAAAGACACACATAGATAAAAGTAAATGCTTAAACCAAATGAACAAGAAAACAAACAAAAATACTAAGCTAGTGAGACGAAAGATCAAAAGCGTAAAGTCATCCAGGTCTTTTAATGAAGAAAGGAATCCCAATTGTGAGTTACAAAAATGCTGAAAGGCACCAAAAATGTTGAAACATTATAACGGGAAAATCTATTCAACTGAGCACTATAGCACGGCAGCCAGAGACACTAAATATACTGCTGTAAAAATTTAAAATAAGAAAGATTTCTTTTTCTGCCATTTATCCATCATTCAAGTACAGGCTCTTAATCAACATACACCAATGCATTCTATACGTGCTCAATGTGTGCAGCTCACTCCGTGTCCTCTTAGTCTTTTTCCTTCAGATTTAGTTCTTTTCTCCATGAGTTTTTTTTTTTTGGTCTACCTTTATTTCATTAGTCATGTGGCATCCAGTGCATTCCAAGTAAATTATCATCATCAGGTTCTCTCCATGTGTGTCCTATCTAACGTCAGTGTTTCTTTCTCAAAACTTCATTCAATGACATTTGTTTAGTTTTTTTCCAGAAGCTCCACATTAGTGATTCTGCCGTGCATTGGAGGGTCGGATATGATTACATTTTCTAGAAATAACATCTTGGGTTAATAGTGAAAATGACTTTGTCAGTTATTATGACATAATTTACCTTTAGCGGAAGTATAACACAGAAGTAATGGCATCATTTACTGTGTTTCCACTTTTTTAAAGCCCAAGGGAAAGTATTACATTTAAATTTCCACACATTCATATTCATTGATTCTTCTTCTTTTGTCAAAATCTGCTTGTGCCGCTAGGCGTCGCAGTCTATCAGATGATCGGCAACCGAGCCAGGGCGCGCTCAGTCGCTTCATATGCCGTGATGTTATGAAGTCTCAAGTTGTCCGTGACTCCTTCAATCCATCTTCTTCTTGGTCTTCCCCTGCCTCTTGGTGTTTCGATTTTCATGTTGTATGCTCTTGATGCTGGCATCGTTGGTTCCAAACCATTTCATTCTTTGCTTCTCAATAAATTTAATGATGGGTATGGTATTCATTGATTACTCCCCTTTATTTATAACAAAATTGTTAAAATGTATAGAAATCTTTTTTTTTTCAAACTGTTAATGACCCGTGTAAAAGGACTTATTTTACTTTTTATTTTTTAAAGTTTTTTCTTTCAAGGGTTTATAGGTGAAGATGTTGACTCCCTCTATCTAAGCAGGCCCCAGTTTGTCATATCCAGTCGTCCCTTTGAGGGATGCAATTTTTTTGTTATTTGAAGCCCTACCTTGGCTTTTCCCGGGAGCTCTGAATATAGCTGGGCCACATTTAATGTGACCATAACGACTGAAAGGGGTTTCTGGGACCTCTCCACAGGTGATCCTTATCCACATGGTGGCACTTTGTGTCACCGGGTGTTTATCGCTTGAGTGATGTCCTGGTAGGGTACAATAAGCCAGCAAGCAAGGCACCAGTTAATTAATCTTTGTTTATTGGTAATTGTTTTAGTCGTCCTCTATGTTTCAGTTCCATAATCCAGCATTGATCTGAGTTAAATATTCTAACTTAGTATTTGTTGTTTTCTTTCAATGAAAAACCTACTTGCTTAAACATAGAGTATTATGAAAGTGAAGGATCTGCAACGGTACATTAGCTAGCATACAAAACTTAAGCCAGTGGTCATGTTTCTGAATACCTATCAAGGTAGAATTTGACATCTGATCTGGGCTCTCAAGCTAACTCAGCCTTACGTGTGTACAAAGAAATGTTTTTGGGCAATACAAACAGCTGATCTGACACCATGCAGAGCTCTAAGTGTTCAATAACAATGTTTCTCTGGTACTAAATGCCAAAGACACGTTAAAGCTTGGAGAAGAATCAGTGCTAACATACTCCGGATGTATAATACAATGCTGAAGATTTAATATAGGAAGTCTATTGTATTAAATGTAGTTTAGTATTAACATAACATAACCTTTGACCTGTTAGGGTCAGGGAGATGTATGGAAGGAAGCACTAGAACACAAAATCCACTACCTTCCTCTGTCTTCCGCTTGATGAACAAGTGTATGATAACTTGGCCCTGTCCATTTCTTGATGTTGTCATTGCCGTTCTTCTTTGCCCTCTACTAGCCCCCAATGTTCCTTGAAGTACAGTCTTTGCAATCGAATGTCTTACCACATACCCAAACCAAGCTAGCTTGGGCCGTTTCTCCACTGCCAAGAGAGGTTCCTGATGTCCTGCAAATTTATATATTTGTTCTCTATAATTTGCTATATTTAGCAATATGCTCCTTTAAATATAATTTGACAGAATATAAAATAATGAGAAAAAACTATCAGTTTTCTCTAAGAAATGACTTTGGAAGTTACCTGTTAATATAACTAAGTGCAGAATCCAACCCCAACACTTCGTTCTGTTCTTGTAAGCTCTTGCCACCAACTGCTATCCTCGTCTCCACAATTGAGCGCGTCTGTGCAAGAGTCAGAGTGTTTCCCTCGATAGCATTCGTATGATATATGTGTGCAAAATATGCCTCTTTCTTAGCTCTTCGCAAAGCTGGATGACTGTTAGGAATCTTGTGCAAAAGTGCTCGCTTTTGATCAACCCTATTAAAACGAGCCTGGTCGATTTCTTCAACAATGGGTCCTGAAATAAATTGAAGAAAAAAAAGGTAAGATTTTGTAATGTTCTATAGTAGCTTGAGTCGTAGTGTGTTACAGACAAATAAGCAGAGTGGGGTTAAGACATTCACAGTATTCAGGATGGGATATTCCTATAAAAGCTCTGTCCCCATCTTCAGCAGCCAACACTGATAGTACCAATAGCAGTTTGATGGTATATCCACCTTGCTTTTTCCCTAAGTGACTGAATAAATGAATGAATCAAGAATTGACATCATTGCTCTCAGGACATTCCCACATATGCTCCACACACAAAAAGATGACAATTCATCATCAAGTGCCTTGCTGACTGGTGTGGATGATCATGTCTCTGCACAACCTGTGATCTTCAACAGCAAGCATCAAATCATATGCTGACATCCTGCTATGCCATGATAAAAGGCTACCAAGAATCTTTTTGTAGTGTCTTTCTCCATCTATTTTTCCAAAGATTTGTTTCAGTGGCAAGAATATGCTCCTATTAGCTTCTTCTCATAACATGAGAAAATAAAACAATTTAAAAAAATTAAAAGAAAGATGTGTTCTACGATGTTTAAAGTTCCCTTGTTTCAAAACAAGGATGTGATATATGGCTAGAATTTAATCACCGCCATCAAGAAAATGAAAAGAGAACATGTTTTTACAAGCTCATTAGGATGTACAAACCTGTTCTCTGGCGGTTCTCTAGGGCGCGAGTGTGTTCGGGGCTGTGCTCCAGTGCGATGTGGTACAGGTGATCTGCTTTCACAATGTCTTTGACATGCCACTCCAGAAACTCCCCAAATGCCGTGAGGATGTCAGCATGGGATGGATCCAGAGCCACAGCATGTTGGAACACTTTCATGGCCTTCTCTGCCTTGCCCTGATTTTGTAAATCAAGGGCAATGTTCATTGCAGCCACGGCTTCCCTGGTGACATCTGTAAATGTCAGGAGTTTTTACATTTTGTCACAGTAAGGGCAATGTCTTTTAATGCCAAGCAGTTATTACTTTCATAGGGGGCTTTCATAGCACTAGGGAATTTGTGGAGGTCAAAAGAAATTAAAAGAAATACTAAACTAAAATTTTTTAATTATGTCAAATTAGTACTATTGTATGTGGCGGAAACATGGAGAACAACCAAGGCAATTACTAATAAATTACAGATTTTCATTAACTGGTGCCTGCGCAGAATAGAGGGAATAAAATGGTATGATAGAATAACTAATGTAGAACTTTGGGAGAGAACTAGATAGGATCCAGTGGACCAAGAGGTGAGGAAAAGACGCTGGCGTTGGATATGGCATACACTGAGAAAACAGGAGAACAGCATAACTAGAATTTCTTTACATTGGAACCCACAGGGGCATAGGAATAAAGGAAGGCCAAAAAACACATGGAGAAGAGAGCTGGAGAATGAGATTAGAAAGATTGGGAGGACATGGGGAGAGCTCCATGCAATGGCGAAGGATAGAATGACTTGGCGTGAGTTGGTTGAGGGCCTATGCTCCATAGGGGGATAGAAAGGCAGAAGAAGAAGAAGTTATTACTTTAACCTCTTCTTTCCAAAGAAGCTGAGCTTAGATGTAATAAATACTCAGACCTGAAGGACATTACAAGGACATTACAAGTGATTGTGATAAAACACAGCAAGAACATTATATTACCTTTGGAATCACCAAGAAATGCTCAAGTTGTTTTATACTCAAAGAGTTAACTAACAAAGAAGTTCTTTTGCACCGACTCTTAAATAGGCAGTTGGCATACTTGTGGTTTATGGAGGCCAGCAATATCTGTGCCTTTCGGCCAAACACATTGAATTTAAGAAAGCTCGCGATTGGTCACCTTCTACAATTTTTTTATTAACTGAAGCAAGTTTCACTCCCATAAATACTGCTGAGAACACAAACCTGATAGACAGGGGATTCTGTGTTATCAGTTAGCTCTCTCTCTCTTCTCTAAAATTATGTGTGTTAATCTGTACTTTCTTGCTGCTGCCTTAATTATCCTGACGACTTCTTGGTCCAATGATTGTTACTGACTGAGGATACCAGGTATGTAAAAAGTCATCCTCAGCTCTCCCCTATCAGTGTGTACTGCAGCTTTAACATTAGCACTTTGCCCCATAATCTTTGTCTTGTTTTAGCTGACGGTTAGACCAAATTCACAACAGTCATCAGCATATGCAGACAGTACACATTGTTAATCCTGTCTGTGGCTTTCAGTCTACGAGCATTGTGGAAGCTGCCGCCAGATCGAGAACAGATTAATACACCACCCTCTTCATCTCAAATGGCATATATCAAAAGGAGTGAAAAATATACTCCAAAGAGGGTCAGAGCATGTAAACATACTTGCTTCACTCCATTCTTGATTAAAAACTCCTCTGATGTTACATTGTCAAAGTTGATTGTGCCTTTCGTGGCTGTGGGGACAACTCAGTAATGCACAGTAGGCTAGGTGGACATCCAATCTTGGCTATCCTCCAAATAACGGTCGTAAATTATCGGGGCGGAAAATATACCCTAACAGGGCCTCAGCCACGTGTCAATTGCGCAGTTCCGTCATCTTGAAATGCGAGCTTCCGGCAACTTCCGCCGCCGCCGAATTGCGAACTTTCGGCAACCTCCGCTACGTGTGCCCCACTAGATGGCTAGGACTCACGAGCAGCAGCTACTGCATCTCCTGCAGCTTCCTTCATTTTATTTGCTTGTGAGTCCTAGCCATCTAGTTTAGCCCCAATTCACGCCGCGTGAGCGGTTGCGGAGGTTGCCGAAAGTTCACAATTTGGCGGTGGAGTTATGGTCCCGGAAGTGCGCAATTGACACGTGACTGAGGCCCTGTTAGGGTATATTTTCCCCCCCCCCGATAATTTTAGACCATTATTAGGAGGATAGCCCAAATCTTCTTAAGTCTACTGAACAGACCTTTACGACTGACCAAATAAAAAGCCTTGGTAAAGCCAATAAAAGCAATATACAGAGGCTGATTTTGTCCACAGCATTTTTTTTAGCAACTGTCAAAATACGAATATTATAAATTTATTATTGTGAAAATCTGGATAAATGTAAACAATACTAAGAAACCATTGCAATAATTTCCCACAGAAATCTCTGATTCTGTAAGGCTGAAGCTCCCCCCCCCCTTATTTGTATGTGGTAACATACACTATAGTTATACACATATCTTCTGAGCTGTACACTGAACCAAATACAGAGAGATAACTTCTGAAAATTAAACACAAACAGTATGGAGAACTGACTACTCTGTCAAGTCTCATAAACTTTTGTTTGCCTGGAGGAAAAAAACCGGCTCTCCTTTAAATAACGGTCACTAGCTGGAAAGGCGACGGTTGCTTAGTCGGAGATCACTCCCTTAGCTGCATTGCAAATACGGAGCGTAAAGAGGGAACGAAACAAATGACATACTTACCTGTCATCATACGGTTGCGTAGGGTATAGGGTTAGGGTTTGGGTGTGGGTAAGGGTTAGATGTGGAAATTTTGACGCAGGAGTTCCAAATAATCGCGCACAGTGACATACACACCCAAACAATTGAAGGACTGTGGATGCTACTCAAACGGACAAGTCGTCATCAATTGGGCACCAGCCGGGCTATTGCCGTCATATTTAGGAGAATTTCAGTGGCGCCACTGCCACAAGCATCAGACTGTCGGCCATCATTTGGAACTCCTGCATCAAAATTTTCACATCTAACCCTAACCCTAACTACGCAAACTTATCGGTCATTAAGGCATACAGAACTGCAGGAGTCACATCCGTGGCAACTAAGTCGTGCGTCGCAAGAATGTGGTTGCTAATGTGAGTCGGAGCTCGATGTCTAACTGCCATGTTGACCTTGTTTTTGATTCGTGACTTTTCCACTCCGTATTTGCAATGCAGCCAAGGGAGTGAACTCCGACTAACCGGCCGTCGCCGTCCAGCTAGCGACCGTTATTTAAAGGAGAGCCAAAAACCTACTACTAATGTACATCACAAATAAAATAGTACATTTCATTAGTAGGTTTTTCCCCTCCTGGCAAAAACTACTAACAGACTTCTAACTACAAGTTAGTTAATGTAATAAGGGAAAGAAAGTAGAAAACAAACCTTTACTAGTTGTAAATCTCTGTTTATACCGCACACTGAGTGATGTATCATAAAACGAGTCCTGTTTTGGATTTGGTGACCTGCAATTATTTGCTAACACACCAGAAGAATCATCGTCCTCCTCCTTTACCTTCCTCTCATCGTCATAAAACACACCCTCCACATGATGAGGTCTATCAGAATAGCGATTTAGTTTGTTCTGATTCCCGTACACACCGACGCTGTCCTCCAGCTCTAGTCCAACATTTGCAAGCAAAAAGTGAAGTAAATGTGGAGAGCCGTTGGTTAAAATACTGACTGTCAATAACAAAACCGAGAGAAACATCATTAGAAGAGTCACAACGATTACAACTTGTAAGCTCAGTCCCTGGTTCCATAAGAAAGCCAGGGAATAACGTATAGAAGTAAACGCTCTGTATCTTAGAAGAGCGGCCTGTTCGGAGCCGGTGAAGTCTGGGCACGGCTGTAAGTGAGGTTTTTGTTTACAGGACATAGTGCTAGGTTCCCAGTTCGCCATTGAAACTTAGAGGCGAATCATCACTATGTACAATCAATTGAGACGACCAGTCCGGTCAACAAGCTTCAGTTTTATGACTTCCGGTCTCTCTCCCGGCGCATTATTCTTGAATCGGTGGATTCCATTCGATTTTTCCAGAAGAACAAATATACCAGTCAATTTGCTTTTGCGAAACCTTTATAAAACTAAGGTCTTTGATCTGTATTTCTTTTGTTGACATGTTTTTTTTATGTTTTAAAATTTTGCCTTGTAGTCTTTCTACCTGATTTCGTCCCTTAAACTAAATAAAACATTCTAATTATATAAGCCTTCCATTTTTCCCCCTGCATCTGCTTTGCGTTCACCGGCTGCAAACTCAGGTGGAAAGTTCAGGTTGTTCGTCCACTTCTGTCTTGTTACAGAACTTAACTGTTACGTGTGCGTCTGTTTTACAGATCTAGCTGTGTGAGGTCTTAGGCAGATGTAAGCACTCAGATTTCAAAGGGCACTATAATTAATGGACTCTTACGTCTAACGACATGCTTATTCAGGAGACTGTGGGTCTCTCCCCCCCCCCTTTTTTTTCCCACAGCGGGGTCCCTTTGGAGGTTGAACTGGGTATCAAGGACCTAGGCAGTTACACTGCTATTCGGATTGATTTTTTTTTTTTTCAACTCGAGTAGCCCGAGGGAGTGTGGAATGTAACATAACATACACTAGCACACAAAATCCGCCATCTTTCTCTTGATGAATAAGTGTATAATAGTCTTGTCCATTTCTTGATGTTGTCATTACAGATTCTTCTTTGCCCTCCTCTTCTTCGACTACCGCCCCCCCCCACACACACACACACAAAATGTTCCTTGGAGTACAGTCTTTGCAATCGAATCATGTCTCACCACGTGTCCAAACCAAGCTAGCTTGCGACGTTTCACCACTGCCAAGAGAGGCTCCTGATGTCCCGTAAATTTATTTTGTCTCTGACATATTTATTAGTTTTGTGTTCTAAATAACTAATTCGTAAAAATGCGTCTAAATTAAATATACTTGATGCGAGATCACAGCAGCTTGGTCTGAAAATCCATAAAGGAAAGACAAAGATAATGAGAATAAATCAGGCAAATAGTAATGTGGTTTCTCTTAATGGCATCTCACTCCAAACGTGGAGTCGTTCACCTATTTGGGCAGTAATGTAGATAAAGATGGAGGAACTGATAGAGATATTAAAATAAGAATACAAAAGGCAAAAGGGGCTTTCATAGCACTGGGGAATTTGTGGAGGTCAAAGGAAATTAAAAGAAATACTAAACTAAAAATTTTTAATTCTAATGTCAAATCAGTACTATTGTATGGGGCGGAAACATGGAGAACAACCAAGGCAATTACTAATAAATTACAGACATTCATTAACTGGTGCCTGCGTAGAATAGAGGGAATAAAATGGTATGATAGAATAACTAATGTAGAACTTTGGAAGAGAACTAGACAGGCTCCAGTGGACCAAGAGGTGGGGAAAAGACGCTGGCGTTGGATAGGACACACACTGAGAAAACAGAATAACTAGAATGTCTTTGCATTGGAATCCACAGGGGCATAGGAATAAAGGAAGGCCAAAAAACACACGGAGAAGAGAGTTGGAGAATGAAGTTGGAAAGATGGGGAGAGCTCCGTGCAATGGTGAAGGATAGAACGACTTGGCGTGAGTTGTTTGAGGGCCTATGCTCCATTGGGGGATAGAAAGGCTGAAGAAGAAGAAAAATGCGTCTGTAGCATTTACATTCGAAAGCCTGAATCCTCCTTTCCATTTCCACAGTGAAAGTCCAACTCACATCTGTATAAGAAAATAGACAATGCCAGTGATTTGTAAATATTGCCCTTGCTGATTTTGCTTTTCAACATCGTATTCAGCTGCGACATCGCGGCTGTTATCATATCAAGTCTTGTCTTGATCTATTTGGTACAGCTTCCATCGCTGCATATGTGGGAGCCAAGATATTTAAAGGTTTCAACTTTTAGTGTGTTTTCCCCTTTTATCTGTATGTTGGTAGGTACTTGATAATTATGACTATTCACCCGAATCTGGCTTTTCTCGGCATTAATTTTCCATGCCATATTTATGAGGAAGGTAAACCTATCAATGAATCGATAGCCCAGAACTGCATAGCCTACGCAAACTCGAGTGCTGAAGGTCCCGGTGAAGGCTGAGATTTTTTTCACGTGGACTTCTGGTAATTTCCCCTGATCTCTGGGTAGTAAGATCAGACGCCCGTGTGTACTGATGTGCACGGAGATCGCGCACTGAGCTGATATTCTTAGGACTCAGGCTTGAGTTAGAAGTAGAACGGATCACTTATGGGTTACTACCCTTGTGCCATGATGTTGATCCGCAAACCAAACCAAACTAGTTGAAAGAGAGTAGCCGTTAAGGCAGACCACGGCCATCTTTAGCTATAAATCTAGAGTTGGCGGTGGGCAGACCAAGAAGATGATAATGAGACAATATTTAGCCACAGCCACAAACACTCGGAGTTACTAAATGGGAAAAAAGGAGGCTAATCGCAGAGGTGAATGGGAAAAGAATGGGGGGGGGGGGGGTAATATCTGCAGCAATGAACCTTAAGGGCTCCGAATGCTGAAGAAGGAATAGACTTTCTGTCATTCTGTCGCTTAGATTACTGCTGTTGCAAAAATGTGGTGGTTTATTGTGAGTCTTGAGAAGGACCCATTTGTGTGTGTGTTCACCTTGCGTCGTTCCATACAGCCTTGAGAAAGGCCAGTTTTAATTAGGACCTATGGCGTTTTTTATACTGTACACAGGACATTCTCAAGCTGTCATGGCACCAAATGAGAATGGTTTAGGTTAAGACGACGGATCAACATCATTGCATAAGGGTAGTAACCCAGGAGTGCTCCATTCTACTTCTCAGCACAGTGCACGAACTCCGTAGCACCGGATAGGATCCTGAAATACTTTGGGTAGATTTGTAACTCCGAATTTTGTCCGGGCAGCCCCGTTAGGTTACTCTTTTTCGATTTCCAACTGCCAAGAAAGTTTTTTACGCGCGTAACAATACACATGGGCGTCTGATCTTATTACCCAGAAACCAGGGGAAATTACTAGAAGTCCAAGTGAAAAAAATCCCAGCCTTCACTGGGGCTTGAACCCGGGACCTCCAGCACTCGGGGCGGACGCCATGCTTCGAGATCACGCAGCTCCCATGATGAGAATGATATCCTACAATCACATTAGGAAAACTGAGTGATCGGTATTCTCTTCGTCTCACGTTTCCCTCCCACGAAAATCTTGGATGTAACGGTCGAAACCTTTGGCTAGGGTCACAGATTTTCTTTACAACGCTCTGCAGAATTAGCAACACCTGTTTAATCAATCACTCAGGTGCCATCACCACAATGAAGGCTGGCTGCAATAGTTCTCCAATGCTTTCTCTCTTGACTTTCTCAGACTACTGTTAATCCATCTCTTGACGTTGTCTTCCCACTTGTATTACTGTATAACTCCCATTCTTTTGCCTTCAACTTTTCTCTGCAGTATGTTTTTTAAGAGTGTGAAGTCCTTTTATGCACTGAAATACTTCACTTGTCTCCTGTTTGTCCCCATTTCGTTCAGCTACTATCCCATTCCTAGTCACTTCAGAACCTATGTATATGATTGTTTCTGTCTCCATTAAGTTCGACCAGTTCGTCTGTATATCCACATCTCCAGATACTCAGTCCGATTTTGTAAGTGCTTGTTCATTGGCCAGGTTTCTGAACTAAACTGCAAGCACACATAACTTTACACAATTATAATTTTTAATGTATTATTTATCTCTCTAGAGTCTAGATATAAACCTTTTTTAAAAATATTATTGAGGCAACAGTGATCAATGACAATTCATACCCAGGTGACATTATTATACAGACAGATGGATCTGTAGTGAGAGTGAAAAAGTAAAAAGAGTGGATGGGTTTTATTGTAAAGCTGAGTACACATACTGTTTAAAGAAGGAAAACCTTGCATATAATGTCACAACATCAAGCACAGGAATGGAAGTGGAGGCAGTAGCTGGAGAGTGACACAGTCCAACAGGTTATTCTACAGGACTCACAAAACAGAAACTGGTGTCCTGCACATAGCCTAGTTCTAAATGCCTAATAAGATTCGGATCAGAAGCACATCATGGATTTTCTGAATAGGAAATGAAGCTGATTGGTTCTATTGTCATTTGGTTTGATATCTTTTCATAATGATTTATATAGTTTTTGTGTTGGTGATATGGTATTCCCGTTATATAAAGCTATTTTTTAAAAAGCTAAAGTGAATCTCTGCAAGGAATCTTCCATCTGATAATGTTTCTGAGACAATCTGCAATGTTGACCCCTTACAGTCACTGCTTCCTGCTAGGTAAAGGTCAAGGTAATGCTACTGCAGCAGTGAATGTAGTACTGATAAGAAGTACTAAATACTACCTTCAAATATCAAGCAAAAGTAAAGGGCCCTTTTTTTTATAACGCTTATTGTGCATCGGCATAGGATGCTATACATATTTTTTAGAGCAGTGGTCTCCAAACTTTGTCACGCGGAGTCCCTTTTCTCAGTGTATGGTAAGACTCCTGACACTCACACCCCTCCCCCAACATAACAAAATGTGATTAAAAAGAGCAGGACAAAAAGAAAAATCCCAAGTATCATTAACAAGAACTCAGAGAACAACACACGCATAATTCAAAGTGTAAAATGAAACCATCCCCAACAACTGGTAAAATTAATGTGATGGTGGAAACTGTTTTGTCTTGATGATATCTGCTGCTTTTGGTCTGATAATGGACAAGGCACAACAAAGATCACGCTCCACATCAAGCTGGCTGTGCTGTTTTGTTTTTGTGACTGTTAAAGCTGAAAATCTGCATGATTACATGGCACAAATGCTCTCAATTTCAAAACTGATGCCCTCCCCCTTTTCAGGTTGGAAACCACTATTTCAGACCAACTGGCACTTGATAGTGGTGCTGTAAATATCATGGTAGCCACCTTTACTTCCCAGGACCCTACCTGGTACACATTTTATGATGCATTTAATTGGATTGCAAACATAAGTCCACATTTGTATGAACTGAGTTAACCGTTTTACTTGATTATTGTCAAAAATGACACCTACCACAGTTAAGTGTCACTGATACAGCAGTACATCATGATGACTGCTGTTGCTTTCGAAGAATAAAATCAGATCAGGTGCTACATTTTACAAAGAATTACTACAACAGATCTCCACAATTTCCCATACCATGATGGTACAGACTTAGATCCTGTTTGCGGTTCAGCTCTCAATTTCTTTCTCAGATTGCAACCATTGTTTTTATTTAATCTTGCCTTACGGGATCTTTCTCAGATTGCAACCATTGTTTTCATGTAATTGGTCCTTACAGGATCTTTCTCAGATTGCAACCATTGTTTTCATGTAATCTGTCCTTACTGGATCTTTCTCAGATTGCAACCATTGTTTTTATGTAATCTGTCCTTACAGGATCACCACGAACAGGGTAGTTGCAAAAGTCAACTCTCAAATATTGAGTCATTCTGCTAGACATCATGATCAACCAGTGGGTCCTTCACAGAACATCGCTCCTGTCACAGAACATCGCTTTTGTCACAGAACATCGCTCTCACCACGGCAGGCTTGACAGTCTCTCTCTAGCCATTTCTCCAGCTCTATGTGCCTTTATAGCCAATGTGTTTTCAATGTTTTGCATCCACGCTTGTGAAGGTCTGCCTCTGCCTCTTTTTCCAGAAACTGTATCCTCCATCACCCTTTTCTCCAAGCTATCATGATGTTCAATATGGCTACAATACCTCAGCTTTTGAGACAGGATGCTGTTTATGAACCAATTTTCCTTGATGCTCAGATCATGTAGGAAGTCTGTGTTCTTTCTTTTCTTGGCCCACTGTATTCTTTCTTTTCTTGGCCCACTGTGTTCTTTCTTTTCTTGGCCCACTGTATTCTTTCTTTTCTTGGCCCACTGTATTCTTTCTTTTTTTGGCCCACTGTATTCTTTCTTTTCTTGGTCCACTGTATTCTTTCTTTTCTTGGCCCACTGTATTCTTTCTTTTCTTGGCCCACTGTGTTCTTTCTTTTCTTGGCCCACTGTATTCTTTCTTTTCTTGGCCCACTGTATTCTTTCTTTTCTTGGCCCACTGTATTCTTTCTTTTCTTGGCCCACTGTATTCCAAGAATCTTTCTGTAGCATTTCAGTTCTAAGCTCTGATTATTTCTTCACTGATTGAGAAAGAGGTCATGATTCTCATAAAAAAGTTGCCAGACAGACAACGGCTAGATAACTGCAACATTTAACATCTGCAATAAAGATCTAAAAGCTGAAAGTTGACTTAATCTGCTTTGAACAAACTTTTCACGTAGATGTTCAAGTTCTGGATTCAAATCTAATAATGATATCATGTCATATTCTAGATGTACATTAGACAGAACAACCAGTCCGTTGTCTTTTAAAGTGGTTTTCACAATGGCAGGAGGTGACTCAGGAAGGTCTGAAAATGTTGCCACATCAACAACATCCCGAGCGAGAGAGCCAGGCTTTGGAGGATCACTGGAACAAAACTTCCCTCCTCCATCTATCATAGCATGAAATGTCCCTGAGAAATATTCACTTGAGAAATCCACTGAAGCTGCATGCAGACCTTTGTGTGTGCCATACTGAAAACCTGGATACACAGGTCCAGAACATACACCTGCAAGTTTAGAATGAAATAAGAAGCTTACTTAGATACTGCACACAAAGAAAATAACAATAAATACACATCTATACTATAGTTCACAATTTTATTCTCTGCATTTACCAGCTGTAAATTTGGCGGAAAGTTCTGGTTGTTCGTCCACTTCTGGACTTTAATCTTTTTCCAGAACTAGCTTATCTGTATCCAGGCTGTTGGTTCCCTGCCTCTCAGGCAGATGTACCGTGAATTTGGAGGAAACCCCTAATTTAAAAACTTCACTGCATCAGGTTTTTCCCAAGCCAGCCAACCTCTTTCTGCAGAGCAGTTGGTTGCCTATTTTAAGCGTGGCTCATGATATGAACTCTAAAGCTACAGCGAAAACGCTGAAGAAACTGTGACAAGGCACTGTAAATTCAATGATGGAGCCCAAAACTGAAAGGTGTCTGCACCTTGCCAAAGTGAGGGAGCCCAAAACTGAAAGGTGTCTGCACCTTGCCAAAGTGAGGGAGCCCAAAACTGAAAGCACCTTGCCAAAGTGAGGGAGCCCAAAACTGAAAGCACCTTGCCAAAGTGAGGGAGCCCAAAACTGAAAGGTGTCTGCACCTTGCCTAAATGAGGGAGCCTGCGTTTATAATGATCCTGAGAGTATGCCAGTGGTAGCCTAGCTACCAGAACGACCTTCCAAGCTGGACAGGTCAAAGGGCAGAGAACAAACTAAGAGAAACACCCTGGTCCTCCAGGTTGGGAGGCTGAAGCAAGGAGTACATGGCTCTACTTCTGTAAAACAAATATACGCGGAGCAGATGAAACCTGTCAGCTGAGAAAGCAATCCATTAAGCAGAAGATACTAATCACAATCCCCCATTGTCCAATGGATGGGATTTGGTCAACCATGGACGAAGAAAGCTCATCCTAACAGAAAAACGTGCTGAAGTCAGAGGTGTCAGACCGAAAAGAGCAAACAATCCCAAAAGTGTCAAAGTCAATCCTGAAGATGATGGATCCACTCACAACTCCTCCTGGTGAAGGAGAATGAGAAGAAATCCTTTCACCAATGTGACCCTAAAACCAAACAACCATTATGAAATCTTGAATCAAGGAAAGTTCTCTCCATAAGAATGAGACTAATAGGGAAAGTTACTAGTCATTAGGCAAAGGCAACCCCACTGCCCTGGCTGTCCCCAATATGCTGTGTCTAATGTCACACACTTGACATCTGCCCGTTTTTCCAGAACCCATAGCTTGAACAGTGTATTACTTTTCTCTCCAGAGCATTATGACATTTAACATGACCCAAATATTTCAAAGAAATGATACTGTCCATGGCTGTTAGTGCTGACACATCTGATGGCTACCTAATGAATTTTACTCCGTGTGCAATCTTCAAGATTTTGCTGGAACTGACACGTTTTTCACTAGTTTCCAAATGGGAATGTGAAGGACAAACATATCTTGTGACTTCCACTGGCACAGGAACAGCGAAGTTATGAAGTAACCCATCAGCAGTAAAGTTGTAATCTCAGTTAACGACTAATGAAACTGTCTATAAGCCAAGTTCCTGGAATCAAGCCAAATAAAGTATAGCAAGATTTAAAAAATATTTTTTTAATTTTAAGATTCCTGATCTGGAGCAGATATCAGCACTTTCCACTTTTCTTGTCATGTGATATTTTGATGAATTTGATGTTCGTAATATTATTTTTTATTGTACTGCTCTTAAAGCTGTCCACAATGATCTTTTGTCTTCTCAGGCATTTTCCTCACAGTAGACTAATTTCTGCCACAAAATGTACTTTACCTTGATGGAGTAGACAGATCGTTTGTCAAACAACTTATTGAATTCTTAGACATTAAGTGAAATTGTAAACAGTTGTAAGTGCATGACAATACCTGGATAAAATCGCAAATCTCTCTCCACAAGTTTCTCATGAGGTCCACCCTTGTCAAATTCGACATAATCACAACCAAAGTAGCCACCGGCACCAAGACCTAGGTAAGCGTGACCTCTGAGGATATGATTTCGTACATTCCTCATCCCTTCCTCCCCTAAGGCTGAGGCAAAACCACTTGTGTACCCAGCACCAAAAGCTACCAGTGATGCCTTGTCCAGTTTTGTACCTGGAGCAGTGATAATTAGACAAATAAGCATGGCTGGATTTGGTTTTGGTTAACTTCTACTTTCTTCTCCTTTGCCTTCACTAGCTGTAGCCTCCAGTGGAAAGTTCTGGTTGTTCATCCACATTTGGATTTTAGTCTTGTTCTAGAACCTAAGTTGTGCATGCACATCCATTTTACAGATTTGTGTCCAGACTGTCGGTTCCTCACCTCCCAGGCAGAGGCACTTTGACTTCGAACGAAGCACACCTAATTATTTGACTTTTATGACATGCTTGTTATGGGGGCAGCGGGTTTTTCTCCCCCGCCCACAATGGAGCTCCCGAAACCACATGGGGGAAGTACTACTTTCAAACCACATGGGGAAGTACTACTTTCAAACCACATGGGGAAGAACTACTTTCAAAGCACATGGGGAAGCACTACTTTCGACGCACATGGGGAAGTACTACTTTCAAAGCTCATGGATATCTCAGATTGTTCTAGTCCTCTCTTACAGATCACACATGGAGAATGTTAGCACAGCAGGCGAATTACTGAGCACCAATAAGGACATAAATTTGTGGATACCAGAACCGCACACCTAGAAATATTCTTTTCATGGATAAGGCAATTTCAAATTTGACCTCAGCAGCAATCTATTTTGCCTATTCATTTCAATTTCTAACTGTTCACGAATTTATTTAAATCAGGTCACCTAAGCTTTCCAGCCATGTCCAAGAAATTTAGATCATCTAATCTTTTTCTCATTTTGTAAAGAGCCAGTCCACACTGTAAAATAAAAACAAGTCTGCACAAGCCAGAGGCAGACATCATAACCTCTAGGTCAGCATGGGCATACACAGCACAAAGGATTTGGAAAACAATAATACAAGAGGGCAGCAGCGCATACTAAACAACTACATCAAACATGACCATGGAGATGGCCGCAGCTTCTAGAGCACTAACATGGGCAGCACAGCAAACAGTCACATGTGCAGTCATTGTATCAGACTCCATGAACATGCTTTAGAAAACAGCAACAGGCAGTATGTGCTCTGAAAGGGTAGAAAGCATTCAAAAATTGCACTTTAACCTCCCTCCCCTGGATCTACACACCTGGTCATGCTGGCATAAAGGGTAGTGAGCAAGTTGACTAACTGGCAAGCAATACTCCAATGCATGAGGGAAGAAGCATGTACAGAGCAGATATCGTTAAGGAAGTATGGACTGGGCTAGTGGATAATGATGAATCTCTGACACTAATATGTTTGCGTCACATGTGTGTGTCATGTCTATACTGGATTCGAGGCCGAGACAGAAGACATTATAACCAACTCCTCATGGGAACAATTAGTAGAAGTCCCTTCGAGTGACTGCTGTATCGGAGGACTATGCACGATTGGAAATGCCCAATGTGCAGTGACCTCAACTGTGATAACATACCATAACAATGATTGCAATAATAATAAAAAACTAAACACCTTTTACAATCTCCTCAGGAGTCACAAAGTCAATGTCCTGTTTATTCAGGTCGACACAGGATCGCAAGGCAGTCATGAGGTGACTGTAACCAGTCTCACTAGCTCCCAGTCCTTTGTAAACGAGAACACTGCCTCTTGCCATTACCAGATCTTCTTAATTATCTGAAATATGTAACACTGGTGAACAGCGCAGTATCAGAGATAAGAAAGTGACTTTTTCTTCTTCTTTGCGATTATTATTGTAATGTCTACTCAGTAAGTCAAATTTGTGAACATAGATTGCTGTCCCTAAGAGTTTGTTGAAACTCCCAGTTAAAATAATGTCTACGTTTGTCTTTATGGGCCATAATTTAGTTCCCAATAAATAAATTGTGTCAGTCTTGGAAGATGTGTGTTATGCAGTTTGCTTTAGCTGTGCATAAGTAAATGAGAGGGACAGGGCTAGCTTTTCATCAGTGATGTTCAGTTTATTTTGTCTTTCTTCTTCTTCTGCATTTGCCATTAAAAGTGCAGTTGGTGTAATTTGTTGTGTTTTACAGCTAGGCTGTGATATCTGCACTTTTTAGCCTAACACATCTCATTTAAGCAAACCCTCAATGATCTGCTTCTTTCATCAAGCTTGTGAAGAGACAATGGGTCTATCCTTTTTGCTCCCAAAATGGGGCAAAAAGCCCATACAGGAATATTGTGCCCTGTTCTTTACGTAACAGGATCACAGTTTCGCTCAATTAAAATAGACATAGTGCAAATAATAATTGCAATCCTGGTATGTCTACAGGTGGTCCAACCTCTTGCAATGAATCCATCAATGTACAGTGTCAAATGAACTGGTCGGCTGTTAATTTACAAGTCACCACTTGGTGTGCTGCTTTTCTCTGCCATATCTATCTTGAATCCAAATAACTGTACCCTGGCCATTGATGCCAAGTCATTCAGCTGGAAGTCCTAATTTTGGGTGGATTTTCTAAAGACAGTAATTTATCTAAGGCCTAACTGAAGCAACTGTAATATGCATGGGTAATCCTGAATTATGCAAACAGTGAGTAATGGAGTGAGAAGCAACAACGAAATTCATAATCTATTTAAATAGCCATTGATCACTAGCATCATGAGAGCTAATAGGTTGAAATGGCTAGGGCATATTGAGAGAATGTCAGATGATGGAGAGGTAAAAACTGTTTATACAGGGGAACTGAATTTTTGTAGACCACGAGGCAGACCAAGAAGACAATGAAAAGATAATGTCCAGAGAAATCAGCAAACACTTGGTGTCACCAACTGGAAAGAGAAGGCCAACCAGAGAGATGAGCGGAGGTGGGTGATATCTGCAGCAATGAACCTCAAGGGCTTGGAATGCCGAAGAAGCAGCAGAAGAATCCTGAATTATGCAAACAGAAGATAGAGGAGCTTAGTCGTGGGGGCCTCGTGGCGGTGGCGGTAGTCACCGGAAAACTGCAAATTAGGTCGCTGGAGGTGCGCAATTGACACGTGAATGTGGCTCAAAAGGATATTTTGCGGCCGCCATCTTTAGTGCCCGAAGTTCGGAGGATAGCCGTATTTAGTATCAGTAGATGTATTTTTAGTAAAAGTATCTCTTAGAATTTTAGAAACTGTAAAGCCTTGCCTGAATTTCAAACATGAAAGAATGAATGAATATCTCATGGTAAACACTCAAAGTCACAACAGCCAAAAAATGCTGTGGTAGGTTTCTGTTTGTTTTATTTATAGTAAGTAAGTATTATTTTGGTCACTTGAAACGTCATGGAAGTCTAGAGAGAACAATAATGGAGGGGTATATGCCTGGGAAGAGAGGAAGAGGAAGGCCAAGGAGAAGATGGGTGCAGGATGTGGCAGATGATCTCCAGATGGGTGTATCAGACGCAGGACATCTTGCTCATGATAGGAAGGTTTTCCGGAGGGTTGTTATGGCAGCGAGGGACATGCTACTGAATGAATGAGTATTACCAGAAAAAAAAAGTCATCTGGTTTAGAACTCTTGACTAGCTTTGCCACTTCTGATAGGCAATCTGTTTAAAGTTGCTGATTCACAGTCATTACGGTTCTTCTAGCAGCCCTACCACTCTGTCGACTGTCAGTATAATGGCTGAGTATTTCATCTCCGGTGAACAATGCTCGCCAGATGTAACTTGTGATGTATTGTATGCAAGAAAATAAAGAATATTTTATTTCGTGAACGGTTGTTTTGGTGGTTATCGTTTTTTAGTAAGCGGCTGTGTGTAAATCTGGAATCGTTGTGTCCACAAATAAAACGAAACGAAACTATCTCCGACAGTGTTGTGTTTGGGCCGATAGGAGGCAACTTAGAGGTAACGTGAAGACTGTCAGTTCTTTATTTCGGTACCAGTGTACATAGGACAGGTCGAAACCAATTATAAGATTTAGAACTTTATTCCTATTAAATTCATAAATTAAAGTATGATTTTTTTCTTTGCTAAGTTTGCTTTTGAAAAGCATAGAAAAGCCTGCCCTTTTCTATACACCCACAGCCACGGTTTTTGATTTTGTTTTCTACAAAAAGTAAGCAAGGTGCCAGTAAGTACTCACCACAGACTGTCTACCACAGTAGCGCTGAAAACAGGGATGCCTAAAATAGGTTCGAATACTGCATACTCTACCACCATCATTTTAAAAGGAATATACAGAATTTCATCACTGGAATCTCAATAAAAGTAAAACTATTTCAGCCTTAGTAATTATTAATTAACAAGTCAGCTGTAAACATGTGTCTTAAAAATTCATGCATGGAAAAGAAAACAAACAGGAATTTGGCGATGTAGAAGATTAGTTATTAACCCTTTGGAGACGATGCAGCCGAAATATCGGCCCAACGCAAAGTAACCAAAAGGACGACTGGGCCGATTGGTCGGCCAAAATAATAGAAGCCTTGATATTGGCTGGCAGGTTTTTTTTTGTACCAGCCAATCAGACTGCCTCTTGCATTTCTTTCACATGTGGGCTGTTCATTAACGGCTTTTGAGAAAGTTTGATGTCTTGTGTAATTTTACATCAATTTTTTTTTTTTTGGGGGTGGGGGGGGGGGGTGGGGTTACCTGTGCCAAAAAATGTCGGAAAGGACTGTTGCGTCATAGCAACCGAAACATAGCTGGAGGCAGGAAAATGAGTAGAACTATGTGCCAGACGTGTCTGAAGGGCCTCCAAGGGCCTTACTTACCAAAATACAGGTGTTAGGACTTTTTTGAGCTTCATCCATAAAAGAATTCACCAACATTTTTCAGTTTAGTTTTGTTTGTTCCCAAGTTTTAAAAAAATTGCTTGCATAAATTATGCAAATCAGAATAGTTAATTTAAATAAATGTTAAGATTTCAGTTTGATTAATAAATATTCTGTTAGTTCATTCAATTTCCTACATGAATATATATCATAGTTTTGTATATGTTAATTAAACGCTTTATTTTTTTAAATTGTTTGTGTATAAACTATGAGAATCCCCTCCTCCATCTTATTAGCACCAAAACTCCAAAAAGGCTCTGTCTCCAAAAGGTTAAAACAAATAAAATAGAGAATAATGGAGTATTTTTGATGTGTAGTATAAAGATTTGTAGATGGTAATCACGGACTAGACTCAGGCTTGTTGATGCTTGCAGGAAAAACCATCAAAGACAACAACACAGTGATGTTTTCTCTAGGTACTTATACAGAGCAAATCTGTTATCTGGCAGAAACATTTATGGTCATGTGTATTTTGTTTTATTTTTGTGGTTGATTAGACTGGGCAGGAAAAGTCTTGAGTGAGCAGATCTGGTCAAAGATCTCAGAGAATAAAACAGTACTAGTACAGTCTGATCATGGAAGCAGCTGCGCTGGCTCCGTCACTGAAGAACATAGCTCCACAGCAGGAGTATCTACTGCAGGTATTGTTGGTGTTTTTTTATTTACAGATCTTTGCTATTAGTGTTTGAATGTCTTAGTATTAGGTAATGTTGTGTGCGGTCAGGGATGTCCCGCACCCTAGTCAAGTATTTAGGGGTATACTTAAAATGTTGAATTGAGAGTCGATATCATAGCACTTGGGACACTCCTATAAGCGCTCTGTCCCCATCCTCAGCAGCTAATGAAGAGTTTCAATTCCGATGGCACCATTAACTGCCTGATTGTATATCCAGTCTATCTGCCTGCTCATTTATCAACACACCGGCATGACATGTAGAGAATATTCTAGGGATTCTGACTACCCAGGACCTATGAAGTGATGCTTGCCACTCTGCATGGAGTATGCCTGTCTCCACCTTTCTCAACAGGCTCTGTGAGTCAGTTACAATCACGGCATGTGTGTACTGTACAGCTGAATGCAACAGTGACTGCCTCCACCTCCATTCTCAAACTAGACGTTGTGGTATCATATGCCAGGCTTTGTTGCACCAAGCGACGTCCATTTGCTCTTGCTATAAACCCCCATGCACTTCGTCTGCCCCTCATAAAGAGCAATGTATATAGATAATCACATCACTTGGGCGGAATTGTCATCTGATTCTGCAGCGCCAGCTAGCCAGTCCTTGCCCTCACGACCCAAAGTGATGAGAACCCTACACAAGTCGTGAAACTTGCTCGGACACTCTGATCCACTCCTCACCTTGCACAAATTTATCAAGCTTGCACACAAGTCTGATTGTGTCTTCAGCTTGTGCCATCCAAGCTTTCCTCTTTTCAATCTGTGACCCTTAGCTCTTCCCAGGGCTTCATGTAGGAGGTGCTTCTTGTCGTGCTTCTTGTCTGCAGCTTCTCTGAGATGTGACTTTGCTTGCAGAACATTGAGCCTATCTGCAATAGTAGGCCGTGCAAGCATACTTAAAAATATACTTATACTTATAAAATGTCACACATACGCACTGGATTCCCTCTACCCACTAATCATGCCTCCTGCTTTTCTTGGCTTGGCACATGCTAATGGTGATTATAACTAGAGTGACGAAAGGCCAACCTAAACAAAAGCACCACTATAAGGAAGGTACACGTAACATGTACGAACGTAACCACTAACATTGTCAGCGAGTACTGTAACATAATACACCACACCAAGTATGATCTTTTAGTGCCTTTTTTATGGACGAACACATTGCAATGAAGATGAATGGGTGATCGATGACACACTGTCAAGTCTCCTGCTACCTCCCAACTACTCACATCAGCAGTCTCTCCAGACTTGGACAGTACACCCTCGCTAACGATGTCCCACGTGTCTGTTACAGGCGACTCACATTTGATCGCGCATATACACCTATGTGATGTGCAGTGATAATCCCCTGATGGTTCATCCTCTAAATGACTCAGCCACCCTGGGACTCAAGGTCGATGCACCACTTGGTGAAACACTTCAGACATCCTGTCTGCTACCCCAGCCACTCATTAAAGCATCACTGACTAACATTCCATTAATCAGCCCCCGATACTTCCCCCATCACAATTTCACGCTGGTCAACGCACACAAAGTTCCCCAACGTGCCACATAGCCGCCCTTGTGCAGACCACCCAATACACATGGGCCACACAGCAGTCCATTCTAGAAATCACATTGACAAAATTCCTAGACCTACTCATGATCCACCACAATCAACCAGACAGTTTATGGGAGCGCCGCAGAAAAAAACATGGCTAAAACTGTCACATATACAGTCCACAGGACTTGGACAGTTCACACATACACACACACGTCCATACACTTAGACGAACTAAAACTGACTGACTCATTCAAACTACCACGGGACTCTTCGCACCCACGGTCAGTTACATGTGGATCTCACATTTCCCACACAACTCAGGGAGTTTGCAGCCACCTGTGAATATCAAGCAACCTCTGTTTCATCAGCTGCAAGTGGCTCAGATGTGTACATTCCCAACCTGTCGACCTAGGCCTAGCTTCATTAACTCTTTCCAGTCCCCAGTGATTTCACACACAAGTAATATAATGGACTTGTCATATAATGGACTTGTAATATAATGGACTTGTCATATGATGGACTTGTCATATAATGGACTTGTCATATAATGGACTTGTAATATAATGGACTTGTAATATAATGGACTTGTAAAATAGTGGACTTGTAATATAATGGACTTGTCATATAATGGACTTGTCATATAATGGACTTGTAGTACAATGGACTTCTGGTCAAATATTAGAACTGCATTATTTTCATTTTTTATGTTCCTTCAAATAATATGTTTTTAAGACCTGAACACTCGCAGACACACACAGACAACATTTTGCTGCATTTTGTTGCCTGCTTAAGCAATGTTTGTTAATCTGACAATAAATCAAATCTATGTTACATTTGCCTTCCTGCAAGGTCAGTCAAATCTACATGATGGAAAGTGCATGTTTTAAAATGCTTCCTATGGCAAAGCCTGTTGATAACATTGCTGAAATTTGCTTCTCGTGTGCAAGTCGTGACACATGTCACCCACATTTCATGTGCAAGTCGTGACTATAACAAACACGTCACCCACTTTTCAGAAGGAACAAGCAGTGGGTATGTTTGTAACATTACTATTGTGACCATGACTCAGCGAAGATGCTTACCCAATGTTGACAAATGGAGAGTGATTTCATGGCTGTGGGATGATGTAGGGGTGCGAGAAGTTGCTAGGAGATTAGGAGTTGCCCACTCTCTCACACCAACTTTGCATGATCATTATCATGCAGCCGGCTGTGCTGCAGAACACTGCTGGTCAAGACATCCAAGTTCTAGCACAATTGAGAATTAAAAGTTACCTTTATATTTTTGTAGCAGTATGTTTCTGTCTTAGCCTTTTCTGAAGCTGTGTTTTGCTTACTGTATTTTTTTTTTAAACATCGTGTAGCTTTGAAAAATATTTATGATATTTGTTTGTCTTCAGGGTAGTATTCTGGACACTCATCGTGATGTATTACTGCACCGTTTACGGGGACTTTGTGACAACGCAGAGAGAAACTTTGAGGCATTTTCTGACTATGAAGCTGTATACGTGTTGCGTAAGATATTGTAATCTTTTCTTCTCGTCTTTGAGATATTTGATAAATTTGTCTTTTACAAAGCTTGGCACTCATAACAGTGTTTTAGTTTCCTGAACAAGAGCCAGTTACAGTCGAGGCACAGAACAGGGGGTATCGGATATTTATTGCAGCCAGTCTTCACTATGATGATAATGATACAGTGTGTCTGAAAGGGCTGAATGGAAGCTGGGCCTGCATACCTTAATTTTTACACTTGAAAACAAAATGTTGTTTGTTTATTTGATGATGAGTTGTAAGCTGTGAAAATCTGTTATGCGTCTGTGTATTTTATTATGTCTGTAAAAATAAGTTTACAATGAAACAGCTGAAAATATTCTTCCACAGGGAATTCCAGCACGGCACAGCAGAGTCAGAATCAGCATGTCACATTCAGAGTTCGTCATGCCCTTGACCATTCAGATGCACCAGAGTAAGCAATGCACTAATGATTATTTCATGTTGGGCGGGGAAGAGGTCAAGAAATAATATTAAATAAAGAGCCTTATATTTTGCTTTTATGGATACACGTAGTAATTGATGTGGAAGCTGGTATGAGAGCTGGATGGTAGCACAGTCAAACATGTATGACAGCTGGATGGTAGCACAGTCAAACATGTATGACAGCTGGATGGTAGCACAGTCAAACATGTATGACAGCTGTCCAGCAGCTGGATGGTAGCACAGTCAAACATGTATTTGTAACAAACTTACCCTTAGTATGCTTTAGAGAATATAAACTCGTATATGAGTGGAGTGTCTTGCTATGATTGAGGTTGGGAGCATATCATAGATTTTCTGCACACGGTATATGAGTGTGCAGGGTAAAGAGCAGTCTGATAGATTGGCTGCTGCTCTTTGTCTGGGCAGCAGCTACTTTATAAGACAAAAGGGTTGAAGCTTCTTTTGGGTCAGGATGATTGTTCGGCAGGCACAGATAGAGTATCCACAGCTAGTGAGATTTCTGGAAAACGTCTGACATGCAGGGAATAAGATAGGATGGCTTTTAATCAGATTACCACTGGCACTTTCGGTATGAAAACTCTTCACTTTTAAAGCGGACAGAATTAATCTGGGAATCTCTTGAGTGCAGTGATGTCGATTCTTTATTCATTTATTGTTTTCTGTTTCATTTGTGTTTGTTTGGCTAGCCTGTTATCTGAGAAGAAAGCCAGAACAACATATTATGTTTAAAGTGATCAAGGAATGTAAGATGAATATTTTACAATCCATAGAGTTAATACATAATCAAAACACATACTTTTGTCTTTATTTATAGCCATATTAGGTATCTGGGTCAAGCTGAACTGGGAGACAGGAGTAGGCACACTTTGGTGAGAGCCTGTCTGGATGTTGCATGTTCAAGTAATGTCAGGGATTTCCTTACAGAAATGGGCTTTAGGTGAGTGATGCAGTTTTATAGTAGGTTTTATTTTGGTGTATTTATATGTGTAACAGCATACTTGTGAGAGCAAGATGGTGAACATATGGAGGTGACTGCAGTCAAGCTTATACAAGGAATTCCAGAGAAATTTGACTATAAAGCTCAACAAAATGGGGAAGCAAAAAAATGTGAACAAAACAACACAATGTAACTTTTCAGCCGGGCAGCTTTTTCAAACATAAGTGAACTACACAAATGTAACAACGAGGAGAGGAGATCTACATACTCTCCTCTCCTCGTTGTAACATTTGTGTAGTTCACTTATGTTTGAAATGGGCTGCCCGGCCGAAACGTTACGTTGTGTTGTTTTGTTCACATTTTTCTGCTTCCCCATTTTGTTGAGCATTTTAGTCAAATTTCTCTGGAATTCCTTGTGAGAGCAAGATGCTGCCTAAGGAGACGATCGATTCTTTTTCTTCAGCATTCCAAGCCCTTGATGTTCATTGCTGTAGATATCACCCGCCTCCATTCATCTCTCTTGTTGGCCTTCTCTTTCCAGTTGGTGACACCAAGTGTTTACAGGTCTGTCTGGACATTATCTCTCCGTCTTCTTGGCCTGCCTTGTGGTCTTAGACCATTCATCTCCCTCGTGTATACAGTTTTTACTTCTCTGCCATTTGACATTCTTTCAATATGCCCCAACCATTTCAGTCTATTAGCTCTCATGATGCCAGTTATCAACTGATTTAAACAGATTATGAATTTCCTTGTTGCTTGTCACTCTCCATTCCCCGCTGTTTACATCTGATGGGTCCAAAGATTCGTCGTAAGACTGTTTTTGAAAACCTGTAATGAGGCTTCATCTCTTTTAGTTGTCCTCCAAGTTTCAGAGTCATATAAAATTACTGGTCTTAACAACATTTTATATTTTTTGATTTTGGTGTTGCGAGACAGACACTTTGACTTAAGCAGATGTTGAAGGGCATAGTAGACTTTATTTCTAGATTGTATTCTAGTTTGCATTTCTTCTCTTAGCATGTTGGGGCAGTTGAAGTTTGCACCCAAGTACTTATATGTTTCCGTTCGTTTGATTTTCATATTATCGACTTGTATGTGGCCGGAGTTTATATCTGTCCATGTTTAGTTATTATCGTATATTCTGTCTTATCTTGATTGATAACCAGTCCCATTTTCTGAGCTGATTCTTTTAAGACAGTCAGTGTTTTAACAGTCTTTAGTTCATTTTCTCTAACTATATGAGACAATAGATTAGTGACTTTAAAGATATAAAACATAATAGCAATGGCCAGTGTCACTCATCAAGTTCTGGGCCAAAAACTGCTTCTCCCCCATGACACCTGATAGCAAACGTAGAAGTTCATGATGAAGATGACAGCAGTCTTAAAGAATTATTTCCTTTATCTGTTTAATAGATATACTGTGAGTCATCTTATGTAGCTTGTATTTTGTATGGGGGAAAAAAACAGTAGTCAGGAACATCCCTTGTGTCTGATGATAAATCAAGTAGTGAAACTGTAAAACAAAACATTCTTTTCTCAATTTGAACCCATGCCTTCTGATTTGTCAGACTGATGTTCTAACCCTGAAATAAGATCTAAGGATGACTGGTTGATGAGCTTGTTAGTAGATGTATCAGTACAGCAGAACGTAAGTAGTGTAAAAAAAACATTACAACAGCAGGGCATGCAGTATGTAGGTAAATGAAGCAATCTGACGATGATTTTGTTAAATGTAGTTTTTTGTTGTTCTGTCTTTGTCTTCCATGTTTGTCCATGTTTTCCCTAATTGTCACAGTCTTCAACAGATAATCTCATTTAATAATTTGACAGCAATTTAGAATTAGCTTCTTTCAATTCTCAGAAATAAACAGAGTATTTGAACCAAAACATTACATGCACTATTTTGGACCAAAAACATTTCATGCAGTTTTCTTAACTAAGACATTTCATGCAGTATTTGGACCAAAATATTGCATGCAGAATTAGGATATACATGTTGCAAATGAGCTTTCCTCATTATTTTGCTTTAATAAGATTTTGCATCAACCACTGCAAGACTGCTAGCTTGCTTGTAGTTTAGCTGTTTGTTCAGATGAAACAATTCATTATTAATTAATGAAATACAAGAACTTTTTGTTTATTCTTATCTTCTAGAATAGACCATGATTATGTAGTCAAGGGACATTTCTTCCACAAGGGAAGAATGAAAGTGACAGTATACAAGATATTCAGAGTAAGTATCATTGTATATGATGGGAACAGATTTCATCCAGGATACATTTTATTTATAATCTGTATAATGTCCATGGTAGATCATTATCATCAAGTGCCTTGCAGACTGGCGTAGGCAATCATGCCTTTCCACAATCTGCGATCCGCAGCTGTGTGTATCAGTTCGTGTGCTGGCACCCCTCCATGCCATGACAAAGGCCGCCAAGAATCTTCTCAGGTTGTCTTTCTCAGTCTTCATTTTATAAAATTAAATTTTAGTTTGTCCTATTCTGTCCTTTATCTCTGTGATACATCTTCTTTCGGATGTTATCCATGTGCCTAGATACTTAAATTTATGTACTTGTCCCAAAATAACGCCTTTGACTTTTATTATACATTTAGGCACTGTTCTTTTCTTGGAAATCACCATTACTTCTGTATTCCCATTATTCAACTGAGGCACTTTTATCTTTCTACCACCACCATATTTATCAGTTTCTGTAGTTCTTTTTGACTTGTTGCTATCAAGGTGGTATCCTGAGAATAACGCAGGTTGTTTATGTTATGACCACCAACCACAATTCCTGGCAAATCCATAATAGATCTCATTATATATTTACTGTACAATGAAAACAAATCAGGCGATAAAACACATTCTTGTCATACTTTCCTCTTTATATACTTTGAAATGTTCCCAAATTGTTATTAATTCTTATAGCTGCTGTTTGCTGCTTATAGATGTTCTTTATAATTCAGAAATCTTTTCCATCAGTATTTAGCTTCTCCAGTAGTTTGATTATTTGCTCATGTTTCACAGATAAACACTTTCGTACAGTCAATAAAGCAGAAGTAAAGATCTTTTTTTTTAATTTTTTTTTTAAACTTCTATAGCTCTTTCTGAAAGAATCCTGAGGATGTATATGGCATTGTTTGTAACTTTTCCTTCTACAAATCCACACTGTTCTTCACTAATTTCTGGATTAATCTTGTTTCTTATTCTCATAATTATTCTTAGTAACATTTTCGACAAGTGGCTCATAAGACGCATGGTGCGATAGTCTTCACATTTTAAAGTGCCTGGTTTCTTTGGCAGAGCAATAAATATACATGGTTGATACATAGTAAAATATGACCTGATATATATGAACTTTTAGCATTTTAGAAACCTGTAGTGTATTTTGTATATGAACATGTGCTGTACAATATGGATGATTGGAGTGTTAATGAATTATGGTGATTGTACATTTTTTGGTAATCGATTAAACTCTTTCAGCTGATACAACCTAACAAGACAGACCCTCACAACCTTGAGCCTCTAGGGCAGTCACATTTAGTGGAGTTGAGCGTGGTGGCGCCACTTGGGCAAGAACAGATTGGTGAGGATATGAAGAACTTTGCAGAACAGTTAAAACCGTATCCTTTGATAATTTCCTTTATATATGTATAAATATATGTATGTGTGTGTGTGTATATATATATATAAATATATATATATATATACATACACACACAAACAAACACATACATACTATAAACCATTTCTTCGCTATTTGTGTATTTATGATGCGTTCATTATGCATTTTGCCCTGTTGTTGGGCAGAAAAGTTTGTTTATTTCTACTGTTTTCTGCATTTCATTATCAGGCTTTGAATAGGCATTTGGTGTGAGCATTATTGTGTGCTACTTAGATGTTAGTTTCCACAGCTTCAGGTTCTATCTGTCCATCACTTGTGTGGGCAACCTCTGGTTCTGTTTCTGCTGTGTCTAAGTGACAGGACCGTCTCTGATGCACTTTCCTGTGGTAGTCTTGAAACGTGTCTGAACTGTTTTTGCTGTTGTCGGTTGATGTAGTTTAGCAGTGGTTCCATGCTAATTTAATTCCTGATACAGTTTGGGTATAATTGTAGTATTTAATTATTTTCATACTAATATCCTGGCACCGTGTTGACTGAATCACCTTGTGGGAGCCAACTTGTCTGATCAAATATGTGTGTAGCCCCATATGCGAGATGTACCAATAGTGGGAAAAAAGGTTTTATAAGTCTTGTTTGAACAAATTTTTTGCCAAAAAACTCGTGGTGAATTGCTGTAAGCTGAATGAGTTAAATAAGAATGCTGAAAATGTCTTGTCCAACTAAAAAAAGTCAGCAAAATAATTTGAGAAGGTATAAGACAAAAGCAGCAACAGTCCAACAGCCACATACATCAGAAAGATGCATTTCATATTTATGTGAGATATCCTGATATATGAAAGGGAATCATGGACAATGGGATGATTCCTGAAACATTATTTGGAAGTGGCAGAGATGTGGTTTTACAAATGGATGAGAATACAATGGAAAGATAAAAAAAAGTAATAAAAGTGTCTTGACAGAAATTAATACACGAAGAGAACTGCTTACTTACATGAGAAGAAGACAATCTACATTCTTTGGTCATGTCAGGAGAAGGAGAAAGCTGGAGTACATCGTGCCAGTACAGAAGATAGAGGGGGTAGAGGCAGAGGGAGACCAAGAGAGTACATTGTGCCAGTACAGAAGATAGAGGGAGAGGGAGACCAAGAGAGTACATTGTGCCAGTACAGAAGATAGAGGGGGTAGAGGCAGAGGGAGACCGAGAGAGTACATTGTGCCAGTACAGAAGATAGAGGGGGTAGAGGCAGAGGGAGACCGAGAGAGTACATTGTGCCAGTACAGAAGATAGAGGGGGTAGAGGCAGAGGGAGACCAAGAGAGAAGATGATGGACAGTTTGACATCATGGCATGAGAGATCATCTGTGTCAGAGCTGATTGGAAATGCATGAGACAGAAGGTTGTGCATGGACATGTCTACCAGCGCCACATAGCACAGACTGTAAGAGAAAGAAGGAACATGTTGGGACTACATAAAAAACTAATTGAAAGACTACAAGAGAGGATGACAGCCTTTGATCATTATCATCTGAATATATGTCTGCACAAGACTTGATATTGTCGGAAGATTGGGGGTTAGGGGGGTCTAAGGACTGACTGACTGACTTTCTACCCCACCAGGACATCACACAAGCGATAAACACCCGATGACATAAAGTGCCACCATGTGGATAAGGATCACCGTGGAGAGGTCCCAGAAACCGCGTTCAGACAATTGGCCATATCTATGACCTGCCTATATTGCGGCCCCTGGCAAAAGCCAGAGTGGGGCTTCAAATAAAAAATTTTGTCCTAAAAAGGATGAAAGTGGATGATAAGAGTAGAACTTAATGAGAAGAAGCATGATTGCCCATGTCAGTTTTGGGGCACTGGATGATACTGCATTCAGATAGATAATTGACCTATTACTAGCAGTAATTTATGTCACTGCTTATTTTTAATTGCTCAGCCATGTTTCATTTCTTGCTTGGGCAGACTACTGAGAAAATATAATGACCAGCTTACTTCCCTTGACTGTTTCACAGACTGGTGTTACTAGAAAAGTTTGATCACAGAAAAATTCAGTGATTGCTGGTCTTCTGTGAAACTTTTATTTTCTGCACAGACTGCCATTCATGTTGTTTTAATGTAATTTTTCAACATATACATATTATTAAATATGTTTGATTCATAGAAAGCCTTGTAATTTAAATGTGTGTGTGTGTGTGTTAATAAGGCCATAAATACATTAAAGAGTCGGTCTTAGTGAGTCGTGATGCCAGACACTCTCTGTTCTGCATCTGTATAGTGTAATAATTTTGGCTTCTTCCATTTCATCCCTTGATGTTGTCCACAAACGTTCTCTTCCTCCTTCCCCTCTGTTATATTCTCTAACAGTGGCCTGGCTATGACCAGTGTCCCTCAGTTGTTTGACCGCTATATTTCAGAATCATAACTCTGGACACTCTTCTTCACTGGTTATTATAACTCAATCAATCTCAGACTGCTGTTTCTCTGTCTCTTGTGGTTTTTGCATTTGTATTGCAAGAAAAATATTCACCTGTCCAGTGAATACACACCATTGTCGAGGTTTCGATGGCTTGAATATTATAATATTGAGCTTCCTATTCTTTGCATTAACTCTTTCAGTCCCTAGGGGTTTAGCATCAGAGACCCATGGGAAAGTAACAAGAAACATAATCGTGCATCTTTCGTTCACTTGGCTTGTAGGTAGGAACCTATGATGTGTGTGTTCCTTGGGACTGAAAGAGTTAAAAGGGCGGTTGGTGTTGCAGTTTACAGCTAGGCCACTTAATTTTTGTGGTGGGGGGGGGGGGGGGGGCTTTATGGTCTTGAGCGTTGGTTAAGTGTGGAATAATAATCATTATTTGTATGTACTGATTGGCAAATAAATCATGTCTGTTCACTTTTAAAACAAACTTTATTTCAAATTGTATACACCATGAAAAAAAAACAATACTGGTCATTACTAGGGAAGAAAGCCATTTTATGGTGGCAATAGTGTCACAAAGAACAATTCAGCTAAACATTTCCAGAGATGTCTTGCTTTCACTTCAGGTTATAAAAATCCTCCATGAGCATAAACACATCACATAAAATAAGGAAATCATTAGCTTTGTCTAACAGTGTAAGCATAAACACATCGCATAAAATAAGGAAATCATTAGCTTTGTTTAACAATGTAAGCCCCATCCATTGTTCTTCTTCAGCAGTCTCTGGTCATACACTTAATCAACTGTGGGATGTCATCTCAATGTCTCTTAGTTTCTCTAAAGCTTAATTGTCAGGTCCACTGGCTGTGGCCACATGTTGGTTCGCAGCTCCTCCTGCAGAGGATAGTCTTGCTGTTGCACAACTTGTTAAGGAATCCGTTTAGTGCGAAGACTGACAGAAAACTGCTTGGGGTCTGCTATCAAACAATCAAATTTGTTTTACATTTTTCAGTGATCTCTGGATATTTAAATATGCACATTGTAATGTTGGTATTTTCCCACGGGAATTCTCTAAACAATAATATTGGAGTAACCATGAGATAAAAGAGAAGTACGTAAAAATGTAAATACTTATAGAAACGCGGGATATACAAACAGGGCTGAGACCAGCACATGAAACCTAGAACGAGGGTTATAATGTTTATAAGGTCTAATCAGTTAGTATGTGTTTGGCAGCTGGCGTGAAAGGTTGTATCTGACAGACGCCTGAATGTGACACTACATATTTGAAGCTTGATGACAGCCTAATCAGAAGTGGTAACCGACGAGTTCCAACTGGCCAATAAGTCTTACCGCCATGATCAGAGCTGCTGGATCAACTCTTGTGTATGTTACGTGTGTAAGGTAACAGGACTGAAAGATAACAAGTGTGGAAGAGGGTAGACGTCAATTAGGTACTTGATAAATGACATCATATCTTGCTGGACCTGCTAGCTAATAGTAGATATTGACCGGACCAGATCACCTGTGAAAATGTAATAAAGAATATAACTGGATATCGTCTACTTGTTACCAACTGTGTGCATTCAGAATGTGATCTATATCTTACTTACGAAAAACTCCTAGCAACCAGTCAGCACACAGAAGAGACAAAATCCCATTCATCTGCAGGTAGCCCATACCTCTTACACTGGTTGATATGCTTCCTTCCTTCCATATGTTGTTTAGCAGATTCCCGTGAGTTTATTGGAGCACTGCAAACAAAGCACTTTCCCGTACCATCTTCTGCCAGAATTATTATTTCTCCATGAGGTCCCAGCTCTGGAGCATCTTCGAGACAAACATCCCGTACCCTGAGAGCTTCAAGTTTCTTCTTGTGCTTGCCACCTTGTAAATGCTGAGCAGCATTGACCCCTGATGTAACTGGCGTCCTACAGAGTTTACACTCCAGCATTCCATTGTTATCTACAATGTAATCTTCATCTCTCACAGAAGTTTGTTTCAGACTGGCTGTAGTGGCATGGCTTCGGTCAGGAGTTATAACGGAACTTGTGGTTGATGCTTCACTGATGACTGAATTTAATATCTTTTTGTCATTGTAAGAAGTTGTTTTAATATTTCCAAACAACATTGGTGTAGTAGATACTGCTGTTTCACAACCACTAGACAGCCCCAAACTAGTGGGCATTCCGCTAATGCCAGAACTGGCTGGAAGTTCACTAACTGGAGCAGACCTAGTCTCAAATGCACTTTGGCCTGTCGGAAATGCCTTATTTAGTTTCTTCTCATGTTGCTTGCCTTTACAATGAGCATCAGCCACAGCTTGTGAGGTTAGAACAGCTTCACACAGATCACAATATTGCTTTCCATTTTTCATTTTCAAGCCACCCCAACAGGAAGTGTTTGCTGTGACACTCTGACCTTCTGTTAAGCGCTTTTTTGTGTTCCCTTCACCTCTACAATGACCTGGCCTCCTTTTTTCTGAAATCACTTTGTGGTCAAATGTCGGTTGAGAAGACACTTCTATTTTATCACTAACAGGGTTTGGCTGAAAACATGGAGGTGTTGATTTGACATTGACAGATGCTGCTTGAGAAATGGCAGCAGTTGTTATATTAGGCTTGGACCATTCTTGGCTGACAGGAATTGCCTCCATTACTTCCTTGAGTTTCTTCTGATGCGGCTTACCTTTTAAGTGATCTTCTGCTGCTTTTTCTGATGTTAGCGAAGTGCGACAAATATCACAATATGGCTTTCCATTTTTCAATTTCAAGCCTTCCCAAAAATGCTGATTGGTAGATCCACTGTTATCTTCTGTCACGAGCTGCTCGTTGTTCTTGTTTTCACATTGCCTGCTTTCTGAAGACATGCAGACTGCTAAATCTGTTTCCAAGACTGGAAGTAAAGAAGAAAGTTTGTTGAAAGTCCACTACACAATGATACACAGAGATAAGTGAAAGCTCTATCAATGGTAAACAGATACACAGAGATAAGTTAAAGCTCTATCAATGGTAAACAGATACATAGAGATAAGTGAAAGCTCTATCAATGGTAAACAGATACATAGAGATAAGTGAAAGCTCTATCAATGGTAAACAGATACATAGAGATAAGTGAAAGCTCTATCAATGGTAAACAGATACATAGAGATAAGTGAAAGCTCTATCAATGGTAAACAGACACAATGTGTTCATTAAAGTGAATATTCGGGTCATGGTCAACTCTATATCATGACATGAAAACTGGTCAAAGGTTTGAGATAATCAAATGGGTTCAAAAAAGTAAAGATCCTGTTCACAATCCACACTATCACATTCCCTGGGGATTAGTCTCATTCTATGGTAAACAGTTACAATGTCTCTGTGTCAAATACAAGACCCCTTACTTGAACTGATGTCTATTGATATATGTTGCTAGTGCCATGTTTCTATTACACAGCGCATCATCATAGTTCCATAATGCCGGTTACCAGTTGCTGGCTCGTCATTTCCTTCCACCTGCTGGTCAGATGTAACGGACCCATTGTTTACATATTTCAGACCTGCCCAGTCCCAAACTCTGAATTCTTGTCTTCCTTGGTCTGCCTCTTTTCCACTTCCCCTCTATGAAACCCTGTAATGTTGTCTTTGAAAGGCCTGTAGATCTTGTTCTGAGTTGGTTCCATTGCATTTTCTGTGTTTCTGTTCTATATCAAGTCTCATTCTGCTTGCCTTTACTTCCCAGAGAGATAATGCTGCCATTAGACTAGAACATATTCTAGCAAATGGCAAACGAGTTGTGGTGCCCAGTTCTCTTCTTTATCATATTTCCTTCTAGAAAACTAGAAACTGGCAGCCATATCTATTAGACTTGACTGACTACAGAGCTTACTGGTCAGGAAAAAATAAATTCATGCTACTTCTAGGGGAACCTCTCAGCCTTCAAGGCACTCTGGTTGTTCATACACTTCTGCATTTTGGTCTTATTCCAGAACTTCAATTTTGCTTCCACATCCATTTTACAAGTTTGTTTGCAGACGGCTGGCTCCTCACCTCTCAGGCTAATGCACTCCAACTATGAAGGACACACCCCTAATTAGTTGTCGTTTAATATGCTTGTTAGGAGAGCAGTGGGTCTACCCGGCACCCCCACCCCCCCCTTCCCCAAAAAAAAACCTCCAAAAGGGGGGGGGGGGGCTGTGGAACTCACACTCAGTTCTAGGGGACCAAACCCAGACCCCTTTCATGGCAAGCAAATCCAGAAAAAGTAGAGGGTCTTTCATTAAGCTGACTAATTTATTTAGTTTTTGTAGAACTTCAACCTGAAACAGCAGACATAATTACAACCAATAACTTGTAATTTATAACTGAAGACAGATTAACAATTTAAAGTTTAAACAGTGGTCAAACTAAACAGTTCGTCATGTACATTTTGGACAAGGTGACAATAACTGAAAACTGCAGACAGTCTGACATTATCTCTTTGAGTCCCAAGGAAGGAATCATACATTCATAGGTTAATACCTAGAAGCCCAATGAACTCATGATGTGTTGATATTATGTCTCTGTTTGCTACATCTTGGGCATGTGATGCTAGATCCTCTGGGACTCAAAGAGTTAATTGAAAACTGCAAGGTCACATAACTGAAAAGTGCAAATTTCAAAGACACTTTATAATTGAAAGCTGCAGACAAGAAAACACTTCATGATTGAAAACTGCAGAGTGACAGTTCATGATTGAAAATTGCAAAAGTGACACTTCATGATTGAAAACTGCAAACACGTTGACACTTCATGACTGAAAACTGCAGACAAAGTGACATTTAATAATTTAAACCTTTTAGTATGACTTTGTTTTTGGAAACTTTTAGTGGAACTTGATTACTGGAAACTTCTAGTAAAATTATTTTTGAAAACTTGTGGCAAAGAAACACTTTATAAAAGTATCCAAATAGCTTTATTATTGGAACTGTAACACAATATACTATAGATTTACATAATGATGCATGTGTCTTTAAGCCCATATTGTATGGTTTACTTTAGTTGACTTTATTAAATTTATCATGTCCACCTTCACTGTTAGGGGTTGTTAACGCAGTTTCAAAGTTCCATCATAACATGGTTCAGAGTAAGCTGCAAGCTTTCAGTAGAAACCACTTAGCATTATTTTAACAATGATATGAGTGTTGTGCCATTTCAAAAGCAAAAACCTAGTAAAATTGAACTAGATAGACAATAAATGATGTCACTGGTTTACATCATCTGGAGAAAAAAAAACATTACTATATATGCTAAATTTAATGACGGAATCAACTTAAAAATCTGTTTACTGAGACAGTGTAAAAATCAATTACAAATCTGTTTATCAAGACAGTTTGTGATAAATAATGAAAAATCTGTTTATTGTGACAGTCTGTAATAAACAATTACAAATCTGTTTATCAAGACAGTTTGTAATAAACAATTATACATCTGTTTATCAAGACAGTTTGTAATAAACAATTATACATCTGTTTATCAAGACAGTTTGTAATAAACAATTATACATCTGTTTATCAAGACAGTTTGTAATAAACAATTATACATCTGTTTATCAAGACAGTTTGTAATAAACAATTATACATCTGTTTATCAAGACAGTTTGTAATAAACAATTATACATCTGTTTATCAAGACAGTTTGTAATAAACAATTATACATCTGTTTTTATCAAGACAGTTTTGTAATAAAACACAATTATACATCTGTTTATCAAGACAGTTTGTAATAAACAATTATACATCTGTTTATCAAGACAGTTTGTAATAAACAATTATACATCTGTTTATCAAGACAGTTTGTAATAAACAATTATACATCTGTTAGCAAGACAGTTTAAAAACTTGCCTCTATCTGATGATAATTGGCATCCCATAGATATTGTCCCTTGGTTACTCTTTGACTTCAAAGTTACATTTGCTAATCCTGTAGCTAACTCTTTGCACTGAAATAAATATATTAGTTTAAACAAAAGGTACTGGAGGATATAAAAAATCCCCCAAGGCTAAGTAAAGTTAATCATTCACAATTACAGATTAGGTTTCAGACCATAGCGCTTCACACTAAAGGGTAGATTAGTCCTCACAAGGTGGTACTGATGGCAGCAATCTAAATCCCACTGTCCTCAATCTAGCACAAAGCAAATAGTGTTCTTCTTCGAATTCACCGGCTGTAAACTCCAGCAGAAAGTATTGGTTCTTCATCTTTTTTTTGGATCTAGGTTTTGTTCAAGGAAACAACTGTTGAGAGCCTATCCCTTTTACAGATCTGGCTTTTTTCAAGATACCATTCTGCACATCTGAAAGATGTTGCTTAAATCTGTCCGCTAGACAGTATAATTGTATAACAAAGTCCACCAATATGGAACTCAATTAAAGACTGAATTAAAAACCATCATCATCGTGTAGCAGGTCCTTTGTAGAACATCGCTCTCATCACACTCTGCCTGAAAGAAACTCGGTCTCTCGCCAGTTCTTCCACCTCATGTACTTTAATACTCAAGGAGTCATATCCTGTGCCCATCTTCATGTCGGTCGGCCCCTGCCTCTCCTTCCTGGTACCATGCCTTCTGCTATAAATTTGTCCAATCCGTTGTGGCGCTTGATATGACCAAAATATTTCAGCTTCCGAGAAAGAATGCTGTTTATTAGCCAATCTTCCTTGATGTTCAGATCTTTTAAGATGTCAATATTTCTCCTCTTTTTTGTCCAAGATATTCTGAGAATCTTTCTATAGCATTTCAGCTCAAAAGCCCCTATTGACCATCATCACAACTACCCTTACTTGCTCTGCCATCGTTCTCTTCCCCAGTTCACATTTGTGATCTGCCTGGCCTGGAGGCCTCACCATCAGATCTTTGAGTTTCATTTTTGGCTTCCATGATGAGTTTCTTGGGATAGTAATGTGGTAGTTTCCCGTTGCTTTCCACATCCACATGGCTTTAGACTACGTCCTCAGCCTTCAGCAACCTTTTCTATTGCTAGGGCAAGTAAGTGCCCTGCTCTGTGATGCTCCTGCTAACAGCAGAGGGCACCTCGGAGGTGTCCACTTATCCCGGCAGATAGTCGGTCCCCATAGCTGCGTTGGCCACACCGCAGTGTGTTTACCGTCCTCTACCACGTGGAGGTGCAGTTGGGGTTTTCCCTTCACTGAGTCTTGAGACCAGAATGGCATTTCCCAAAACTCTCCAGTACTTTCAGAGCTAGTTAATTAAAAACCAGTTTAAAAAAAAATTAGTGAGGAAAAAACCAACTGTGCTAGATATGACACACATTCAGAATACCTGTTTATAACAACAATGGTGTCCTTCGTCTTAAACCCACAAAGCCAAACATGCAATTAAAAAAATCAAACTTAGCAAATACACATACAAATGTATGTGCCATCTCCACAATGAGCATTGGCTACAGTGTGCCACTGCTGTCTTTGGGTATATTAAGCAGTGAGGCCCTAATTTCTTCCACGGTTTGATCCTCGTACCACTGTTTAAAAAAACATGAGAAAGGATTTTTTGTTTTTTAATGTGCGGCAGGAAATGCATCCCAGCACTAGAGGATTACGAAATTGTTAACCAAATTTGCTAACTCCTAAGCCACAAATATAAACATCCAGATCTAACAACACTTGGAAGCAAAAAGGGTTGGCTAAGGACCTACTTAATGATCTATTACTATGAGGGAAGAGAGGATGATAGAAGAAAAAAAGAAGTTTACTAAATTTACAAAACAATAATTATCTCCTAATTACTTTAAAAAAAAAAATAATTATTGAAGGTAGAAATACTAAATGAAAACAATACCTTTGTTTGTTCGTTGCTCCACTTTTCATCTAGTTTCCCTTTAAGAAAAGAATATTCATGCTCTTAAACTTGTGTACTGAAATGTGGTACGCAGTTTTTTTTTTTTTTAAAGCACGCTACAAATGATTAGTCATATGATTAATTGTAACTACTGTCAGTGTTTTGATTTGCTCAACAAAAGTCAGTGAAATGGCAGATAACATCCATGTTTAGGCTCTGGGTACCACATGGGGGGAGGGCAAAGAACAGATCCCTTACCCCCCTCTCCCCCAACAAGCATGCTGTAAAGAGATCTGATATTAGAATTACAATTGTAAGTGGTTGATACGCAAACTGTTATCGATGGTCAAATCTGGCACTGAGTTTGAACAGAGCCAATATAAAATGCTGTGGCTAGCTTAGGTCTGCCAAGATCTTACTTCAAACATTTTGTTTCAAAAATAATTAAATCTTACAAATAAAATATGTTGAATATAAATTTGTTTCTTCCTTTCTGAATATATCTATTGTAAAAAGCTGTATCAAGTTATAAATAATTTAACAATCACAAAACAAACATAACTGCTCTAAATGACCTCAAATATAACTGAACAAAAAACAAAACAAAAAAGGGTTTAACAATACATACTTTTTATTTCTTGAAAAGGTTCCACAAGGTAGTCTTGTTTCACATCTGGATCTTTACAGGCTTGCAAAATAACCTCAAACCAACCTCTGTAGCTTTTCATTGTTGACAGTAGTTCAAAGTTCACATCCTTGCTAGCTTTGTGTTCCATGGCTTTCCGAAGCACTTGCTACAGAACACAAAGAACAAATGTGTTATTTCCCAATAACCGGAATGTTTGTCTACTTTCCCTGGGTTGTGAAGAAATACTCTTTTCTCCATTGCAGTAAGTCGTTAACAGGTTATTTCTGATAAAGTGATCAATGAAACCACAGAGTGAAGAAACAAGCAGAGAATCACAAACATGCACTAATCTGGGAAATAAAGGAACTGAGGAAACAAGGACAATGATGATGAGAGTTGTTGACTGAGGGAATAGGGTGTCACTTTTGCTTCAGCTAGTCTGCTAGTGGCACAGTGCTTCAGCTAGTCTGCTAGTGGCACAGTGCATACAGTGCTTCAGCTAGTCTGCTAGTGGCACAGTGCTTCAGCTAGTCTGCTAGTGGCACAGTGCTTCAGCTAGTCTGCTAGTGGCAAAGGGCATACAGTGCTTCAGCTAGTGTGCTAGTGGCACAGTGCTTCAGCTAGTCTGATAGTGGCAGAGGGCATACAGTGCTTCAGCTAGTCTGCTAGTGGCACAGTGCTTCAGCTAGTCTGATAGTGGCAGAGGGCATACAGTGCTTCAGCTGGTCTGTGGCAGTGGGCATACAGGGCTTCAGCTAGTCTGATAGTGGCAGAGGGCATACAGGGCTTCAGCTAGTCTGTGGCAGAGGGCATACAGTGCTTTAGCTAGTCTATGGCAGTGGGCATACAGTGCTTTAGCTAGTCTGTAGCAGTGGGCATACAGGGCTTCTGCTAGTCTGTGGCAGAGGGCATACAGTGCTTCAGTTAGTCTGTGGCAGTGGGTATACAGTGCTTCAGCTAGTCTGCTAGTTGCAGTGGGCATACAGTGTTTTAGCTAGTCTGTGGCATTGAGTATACAGTGCTTTAGCTAGTCTGTGGCAGTGAGCATACAGTGCTTTAGCTAGTCTGTGGCAGTGAGCATACAGTGCTTTAGCTAGTCTGTGGCAGTGGGCATAAAGTGCTTTAGCTAGTCTGTGGCAGTGGGCATACAGTGCTTCAGCTAGTCTGTGGCAGTGGGCATACAGTGCTTTAGCTAGACTGTGGCAGTGGGCATAAAGTGCTTCAGCTAGTTTGTGGCAATGGGCATACAGTGCTTCAGCTAGTTTGTGGCAGTGGGCATACAGTGCTTCAGCTAGTCTGTGGCAGTGGGCATCCAGTGCTTTAGCTAGTCTGTGGCCGTGGGCATACAGTGCTTCAGCTATTCTGCTAGTGGCAGAGGGCATACAGTGCTTCAGCTAGTCTTTGGCGGTGGGCATACAGTGCTTCAGCTAGTCTGTGGCAGTGGGCATACAGTGCTTCAGCTAGTCTGCTAGTGTCAAAGGGCATACAGTGCTTTAGCTAGTTTGTGGCCGTGGGCATCCAGTGCTTTAGCTAGTCTGTGGCCGTGGGCATACAGTGCTTCAGCTATTCTGCTAGTGGCAGAGGGCATACAGTGCTTCAGCTAGTCTTTGGCGGTGGGCATACAGTGCTTCAGCTAGTCTGTGGCAGTGGGCATACAGTGCTTCAGCTAGTCTGCTAGTGTCAAAGGGCATACAGTGCTTTAGCTAGTTTGTGGCAGTGGGCATACAGGGCTTTAGCTAGTCTGTGGCAGTGGGCATACAGTGCTTTAGCTAGTCTGTGGCAGTGGGCATACAGTTCTTCAGCTAGTCTGTGGCAGTGGGCATACAGTGCTTCAGCTATTCTGTGGCAGTGGGCATACAGTGCTTCAGCTAGTCTGTGGCGGTGGGCATACAGTGCTTCAGCTAGTCTGTGGCAGTGGGCATACAGTGCTTCAGCTAGTCTGCTAGTTGCAGTGGGCATACAGTGCTTTAGCTAGTCTGCTAGTTGCAGTGGGCATACAGTGCTTCAGCTAGTCTGCTAGTTGCAGTGGGCATACAGTGCTTCAGCTAGTCTGCTAGTTGCAGTGGGTATACAGTGCTTTAGCTAGTCTGTGGCAGTGAGTATACAGTGCTTTAGCTAGTCTGTGGCAGTGAGTATACAGTGCTTTAGCTAGTCTGTGGCAGTGAGCATACAGTGCTTTAGCTAGTCTGTGGCAGTGGGCATACAGTTCTTCAGCTAGTCTGTGGCAGTGGGCATACAGTTCTTCAGCTAGTCTGTGGCAGTGGGCATACAGTGCTTCAGCTAGTCTGCTAGTGGCAGAGGGAGGCAGAGAAGGAAGACTTTGAGAGGTGATGATTTCTTTTTAGATCTTCTTAATGATTGAACTGTTGCACTTACTGAAGAGCGGGTTTTTTTGGTTTTTTTTTTTTTTCAGTTTTCCTGCATGTACAAAGTGTTGGTTATTCAGGGGTTGTGTGAATCAGTCTCTTTTACACACACACACACACACACACTCCTCCCCACACACACATATATATATATATATATATAAATCGATTTACTGATCTACTTCATGGCTCCAGCAGAATATTTTAATCTTTTAAACTTTATGAACATTTATTTGAGACTATTTTTCCAGTGACTCAGTGCCAACATTTTTGCTTCCGTGAAGCACTTATCCTGTAGTGATATTAGGTTCAGTGAAGCACTCATCTTGTAGTGATATTAGATTAAGTGAAACACTCATCCTGTGATGAGTTTCAGTGAAGCACCTATCCTGGGTGATATTAGGTTCAGGGAAGCACTCATCTTGTAGGCATATTAGGTTCAGTGAAGCACTCATCCTGTAGTGATATTAAGTTCAGTGAAGCACTCATCCTGTAGTGGTATTAGATTCAGTGAAGCACTCATTCTGTGTTGATATTAGGTTCAGTGAAGAACTCATCCTGTGGTGATATTAGGTTCAGTGAAGCACTCATCCTGTGGTGATATTAGGTTCGGTGAAGCACTCATCTTGTAGTGTTATTCTCTTATTGTTGTTGCTGCTTCCATGGCCTTTAGTATAGTAAAAAATAAATGACTTGATCAAGGAAAGGTCACAATGGATAATGAAAACTGAAAGAACAGTGAACTTTACCGCCTGTGTTCGTCATATCCTGTGTCCACCGTCGAGCCCGTCTTTTTATCTAGGACCTCAATTACTCTTCTCGCGAAACCATTACGCTATTAAATATAGGTAAAGTATTTGATTTATCAAGAGTCTTTGAGGCAGTCTCCGCCACCCCATGTTTAGATTGTGAAGAATGTATTTTTCCTCTTCCTGGTCAGTGATACTTTACCAGTCATTCTGTAACTCTTTAAGCTGAAAAGCCTTGATTGCCTTATTTTAATGAGTGTGAAATAGTAGACCATGACTGGTATTCATATTTTGCCATAGAAAAGATGCATGATCTCAGGATTTCACTTTTGTTGCTAATGTTGTGTCACAGACTCTTGACATTATGTAACCTCTTTATAGCTAAAGTAAGTCTGTAATACTGCTAGTTTTAAATTCCTCAGTTTCTAGGTCCTTTATTACACTATACATGAAAACAATTCTAAGCTTGAGTTCAAACCGATCTAACTTCATAAAAGTAATAATCCCAGCTGACTCTTGTCTTCATACAACCAGATGAAAGCACTAAACACTAAATCACCTTCTTCTTTTTTCTTCCTTAGTTCTGTTCTGTCTTTAAGCATCAGCTCTGAAAAAGGCATCGGATCTGAGCCTTGGTGTGTGCTACCCGACGCTGGTATCTATGGCCTTAGATGTGCAACCTACAAAACACATGTCAGGCTGACGCCTAGTTTTGCTTCTATTAGATCTAAGTGACAGGCCCCTCTTTGTGATAATCTTGACCCTTATCCAAACCACTTGCTCTGATGTCTCTTGAAAAGTACTGGTTCAATCCTAACATCTTTCCTCAAATTGTTATTTCTGATCCTGACTGTCTCTTCTAATTACATTTAGGATTTGTCATAGACATTTCATTCCTGTTGTTTCAGTTGTTCTTGTTTTTTTTACTCAACCACTTGTCTATACAAATGCGGCGTCCATGGCTTAGGCGTGGCGAGTCCCACTCGTAATTCCAACGTACCGCGATCGAAACCCACTGCTGGCTGCATGGATTTTTATCATGGTAGGGACATCACAGGTCGACCCAGCCTAAAATGGATACCAGAATGGCTGTCCTAGGGAAGTAAAGATGGCCGGCGTAATTCTGACCACATTACCCACCTAGTGCCGATTGGTCTGTTAAAATATGGGTGCTCTTCCCATATGCCGGTTGCGCCCAAAGGCGTGAAAAGGGATCTTTACTTTACTTGTCTATACAAATAACAATTGTGCCTCTATCACTTACAATATCTCTGAGTGTCAGCACATTGTTATTA